TATAACCTTTGCCATTGATTATCACTTTTGCTAATAAGTCTTACTTATTTTAAAGAACATTTAACTGATTGTGCGCAATTCATTTGGAGAAACGGAAATACATAGACAAATATCTCCCTGTTCAAAACGTCTAAAATTCGTTACGCGTGGTAAAAATTTTGTATAGCTATAATTACTTTGTAAATGAGAGAAAAGCACTCAAAAATCAAGTAATGCAATCTATGGCGTTATATCTCTTAAACTTGAATTTTTTTTCTACGCGTATTTGCAATCAGCTCTAAGGCTATGAGCGAATCTGTTCTGTGGTGTTGTCATGTGAAGTGGCTTCCCATTGGAATCATCTACTTATCTGCTGCCCAGAGCTACTGCCGGTCTTCTAGCTCTAGAATATGGTAACGTTTTAGTCGTCTCACATACTGTTTAATGGTGAGTTGGCGAGCAAGTTTTGCAATAATTGCTCTTAGGATCTGGTTCTGTTGTCGCTGGAGTATATTTTGTTGGTATCACCATTCCACCATATACAGTTGGACACCATATAAGGAGTTGGTTATCTAGATAAAGTCAAGAGTTTCTTCCTAGCATCCAATATAGGCTGTTGTAATTTAGCTGTAGCTCCTGCTTTTTGCATTTGATGTGGTGCCTCCACGGTAATCCACGATCAATGTGTAAGCCAAGATATCTTACATGGTCACTGTGTGGCAGAATACTTTGGTCCAACTTTACAGGTTGGCAGTCTCCTCTTCTAAGGGTGAAGGTCACGTGTACTGACTTCGCGGCACTAGCTTTTATTTTCCATTTTTGGAGCCAAAACGTGAATATAAAAATAATAAATTAGTAACTAGTTAGTTGAAAAATAACTCGTCAACACAAAAGTGATTTAAATAATTTAATCACACATTATAATAAATTCTTATTTACATATATGTATTATTTAAATTAAACGATGGTTTGTAGTGTCTTGCTATATTAGTTATATATAAGTTAAGCACGTGACATGCTGCGATAATTTTATTACATTAAAAACTAGTAGTAATATCAGTTAAATTATAATTAACCCACTTTTAAGGACGTTACGTAAGAAAACTCCTGGGCGCTCCAACACTTTATGAAACTGTATTGAATTAATTGTTTAATAGAGTCTGGCTAATGAAAGAAGATAAAGAAAAAGCGCGGCAAATTAAAAAATATAGTATGGTACCCCTAAAAGTTTGATATATTTTGTGGATAAAACTTACTTGATACTTGATTTTATTTTATTACTTTTTTACATTGATATTAACTGTATTTCTTTCAAATTAAATACTATACGTATTTAGTATTTTACTATTGATACTTAAAATGACTTGAATTGCATGGAAAACTAAAAATATATTTATTATAAAACACAACTTTATTCGGAATAATCAAAATGAGAATCCCAAAAATTTGCGATTTCTATAAAGTACTGGTTCTGATTTTATTCTATCTTTCAGCTCTAAATCAGTGAGCTTACCAATAGTTCTCACTATTGGATCGACTCCTTCTACATCCTCCAGATTTCCTGCAAAAGAAACGAAATATTCTATCAAATAAAACAGAGTTTAGGCTATTATACCAGTTAACTATTCGGAAAAAATATAAAATAGAAATAAAAATGAGTAATTGCATGAAGTATCAAGACAATAAATCATACTAAGCTAAGAAATTCAATGATATTCTGTGTTGCCATCCGAAAGTTTTCAAATAATTCAATTATCTTCTTTCATTAGCCAGACTATATTCGTGAATACCTAAACTAGACTAGAATAGACACTTGTCGATATTTTTGGGTCTTAGTTTAAGATATAAGTACTATTTATAACTCCTGTATGTCAAATTCCAATAAATTTTTGACAGGAGTAAGAATTTTGCGCTAAAGCATAACTTGATCTTACTCTTGATCATGTCGAGAGTTAAGAAAGTCTTTCTAAAATTTACGGAATCCGTCACACCGTCATATCTTGACTTTGAGTCTTACCCTAAGACATGCGGATATTTTTCTCCATATCAGCTTGTTTTTGAATAAAGTCATGATTATGCAGATTTGATATAATGTCACTATACGAAGCTGTGAAAATTAATTTAAATTTTAATAAATTCCATAAATTTTTGAAGATATTAATTTAAGTTGGTACCATATGGGCTTAAAGTACAAAAAATATGACAAAAATTTGTAATACAGAATCAGTTAGGAATAATTCCTTGTTGTAGTTTTTGACAATATCTATTAAGACAAATTAACTGCATTTTGTATAATATATCGAAACAAACACGAATTGTTCTTTAGAATTCTAAACGGTTGTAACGAATTGGATTGAATGAATCTCAGCTTTTTTGGCATACATTGGTATTTAAACAGGTTGCGACGTCGACGTTGGCAAGTCTGACTTCTTACTAATTAGTAACTTATACCAGTAAGATAGGGATATGCGCGGTAACGATCTTAAAATCGGTCCCCCGAATCTGATGATACTGATTATACAGGAGTCTCGGGGCACCTTGATTGGAACACCTCCAAGTGATTTTTGCTGCCGGAAATTCGTCTAAGTATTTAAAAAAAAAATTTAAAGTTTTTTGAAATGTATTGAAATTTGTGAACAATCCGCCATTTACTATTGGTTTTAAGAGATGTGACATTCTCGGTAAATTAATAGATTTTTTTTATTTATCGATTATTTCCTCATTTGTTAATTTTAAAGTTGAACCTAATTTCGTGTTGATAGATTTTAGAACAGTGATATTATTTGATTTGGAATCTTGGTTAAGTTAGGCCATTACAAAATAAATTTGACAAACACTTGGAGGTGTTCCAATCAAGGTGCCCGCGAGACTCCTGCATAATCAGTATCATCAGATTCGGGGGACCGATTTTAAGATCCAACCCATATGCGCGTGTGAGAGAGGCGCAAATATATGACGTGTTATTATTTTCCTTTTTGTTTCTCTCAGTGCTAACCGCTAGGGAATTTAATTTTGCTAGTAGCATTTTAAATCTCACTTTACCAAAAATTTTAGTAAGGCCATGGCTATGGGAGCGACTTTTTGGGTCGCAGAGACAGCGGAGTCAGTGTGGTTTGTTGTTGTGTTTTGTTTTGTTGTAAATAAATAAATGACTAAATCGTTAATTTGCAAAGAAAGTGGTACGTTTAGATCAATTAATTATAAAAATCCGCGCAATCAGCCATAAAAATAGGCATGCAAATGTCATATTAATATTCATAGAGTCATATAATAAGAACATTAAGATAGTGTCTAATAATAAGTTATTAATAATTGTTGTCAAACTTATGGTCTACATACTCGCCCTAATAATAAAAAATATACAAAATTTAAAATTGTTCCCTCCCTATACTAATATGTGACTACAAATCAAATTATACAAAACAGCGTGAACAAAAACAAGAATCAAATAAAAAAGGACGAACATTAAAGTAATGTGCAAAAGACATATAAAAAGAATGAAATCGATAATATTCAAACTATATTATCCTGCATCTTGATTCTAATTTTATTCGTGTTAAAAAGATCTACCCATCATGAAGTTCATTGAGGCGGTCGTTCAGAGATAAATTTACGCTTCGTATCAAATACTTACATTTTCCATAAAAAATCGGACTGATTCTAATTAGCATACTGACACAAAATTTTTGCATAAAACGTGAATTATATTATATCTATTAACATTTAGAATTAAATCTGCATTTAATTTAAATATCTAATACAATTATGCAAACTATTACGAAATAATTCCTATGGAAAATAATTATGTTGATCTATATCGCTATATAAGTATTTATTTATGTCTTTTAGTGTCATTATGTAAAACAAATCATATTGTTGCACTATTAACTAGCCCCGCGGGTTTACACGCGTTAATTTGGTGGTAGTGACTAGTGTTCCCCCATTAATAAAAGACTTAAGACGCTACAACCTTTTTAGGTCTGGGAGATTTCTGTAACTGTTGCATGATCATTTGTCAATCTAATAGGCAAGTAGGTGATCAGCCTTCTGTGCCTGACACACGTCGTTGGCCTTAGTCTCGACTCTGATATACCCTACCCTAAGATTTAGAAACGAAACAAAGCGTTAAGCCAGGCTCCGGTACGACATTTTCCTTTAATTTTTTCCATCATCGTAAAAAAGAAAGTAACATTTATTAACAACGCACTCGCGAGCTCTCTGTTGAAAGTGTCCATGGGCGGCGGTATCACTTAGCATCAGTTGAGCCTCCTGACCATTTGCCCCCTGAACTATAAAAAAAAACTGAACGCTACCTTAAAAATGGGCAAGCGCCAGGGGAAGACGACGTAATCCCAGAAATGCTTAAGACTGCTCCCGATGAAGTCTACTCATCTCTTGCAACACTTTTTACTTAGTGCCTAATTGAAGGTGCAGTCCCATTTTCATGGAACAACGCCATTATCAAATTGATACAACAAAAACGCGATCGGAAGAAAATGTACTCTTTTTAGAACTCGATCACCTGCTAATAATAAAAACCCTTATCCAGAAATGTAACAAATTTCAAAAGCCTATCGCCATCACATTCGTAGACTATGAAAAGGCGTTCGATACACTAGAAGCATGGGCTGTACAGAAAAGTCTTGCAGAATTAACCAACGATTCATTAATGTTCTGAAGCACTTTCAAGTTTACGCCAAATCGTGTTATGTTACACGACAAAACGAATAAGATTTGGCTGGAGCGAGGAGTAAGACAGGGAGATTCTATCTTCCCGAAACTTTTTACAGCAACTCTCGAAAACGTCTTTTAGATGTTACCGTGGGACGATGATAAGGGAATTAACATAGACGGCCAAAGATTGTCATACTTGAGATATGCTGATGATAGTCTTATTCGCTGATAACACTGAGGATGGTTCGGACCATGGTCAGCGCCTTAAGCCAGCGAAGATGGGCTTAAAGATGAATTTTTCTAAGACTATGACAAACATCGAAGGAACCAGACAACAACAACTACCGCTAGATATCGTAGGACACTATATCTTGGGCACAAAGTTTCAGTGGGATGTGAAAGTCAATCTGAAGTCGAGGGACGTATTTCGCAAGAATGGGCAGCTTTTTGGAGCGAATGAAGAGGTAACCCCTCTTAATAGCACTCAAAATCAGTGCATCCTGCCTGTCGAATGAAGCCGACACCAAAACACGCACGGCGGAGAGCTTGAGTCGCGCAGCAAGCGATGGAACTTGCAATGCTTGGCATATCACATAGAGCGCGTAGACAGGAATCGATGGCTTCTTGAATGGAGACCTCTTCAGAAGAAAAGACCGCGAAAAAGGGGCTGATGATGATGATTCCCAATACATTATAATTGTATTAACAATTTGGTCTTACTCGCACAATTGCAGGCTTAATAAATAAATTGTAAATTAAAATGTATGACCTCTTTATAAACGAACTCAGCTGAGACTGAGAGCCGCACTTGCTCAAGTGCTAATTTATTGGATTGAAGATATTACATATATTCATTGTAATGTATATAAAACCGCGCACGCGACGACATTTCCTCATTACTAAATACTTATCTCAATAGATATACAAATTAGATGTAAAATATATTTACAAAGACGCTAATGGCTTAAACCGGTTAATTTTATTCGGTTCTTATTTTTCAGTCTTATACTACATAGGCTGCACTAAAAGTATCGGGGATGGAATAATACCACTGTTCCTGTCATATTTAAATCTTTTTAATTGAAAACTCCTTTTTTTTTAAATCGAATACCATTTTTTTTTTAATTCTCGGTCTTTTCATAAAGTTTTGTCAAACTTGTTTAGTCATTGAGAAAATGGAATTGACGCGAGAAAATTCATGAGCGATGATTTATTATGACTTTCGAAGTGGTTTATCACAAAAACAGTGTGTTGACCGGATGATTTCTGCATTTGGTGATGAAGCCCCATCCAAAACCACAATTTATCGCTGGTTTGCTGAATTTCAACGTGGATAAATTGCGTGGTCAGAGATTTTCATCACCTGAAGAAGCTGTGGGCGCAACTTCCGAATGGAATGGTTGCTTCAATGATTGGTTCCATCGTATGAAAAATGTGTCAAATTTTGCGGAGAATACTTCGAAAAGCAATAAATACATTTTTAAATAGTAATGTTGTGTCACTTCCTTGATTCCCGAAATTTTCAGTGCCGCCCTCGTTAATATATCAATTTACAATTCAAATTATTTTTTCTATTCTGATAAATTGTAATGTAACGGATCCTGCTCCCGCCATACACAAAACACTAAGCCGATATCATTACATTTCTTAATGTTTCTGTCGGTATGATCGAATGCAAGCTTAAAAATATAACGACTTTTTTGCATTTGGTTTTTTACTGCTGAATCGGTCGGATCCCAATAATTTTGATATTAATATAGCTCAGATAGGACGTCTTGGGGTGGCTAGCATATTCTAGTGTCGAATACTTAGTAAAAACTATGGCTACTTCTATCAGCAATGCCATTGCATTTATTATTTATGATTATATTATTCTACAAACTACGAGATTGCGGATTTAGCAGATGCGAGAAACACGTGGTTTAAGCATCTGAATTCCAAAAGTTATTAGGTCAAATTTCGATAAAAGACCGCGCAAGGTTGGTGGCTGTGGTGTCAAGGGAAGCCTGTCATAATAATTGTCCCTGTGGCTTTGAAGTAAGTAGCCTTGGACACTATGTCCTAACATTGCCAAAAGTGTGCAGGTCGTTTTTCTCGCCACGCCGCGTTCAACATTATACGCCGCTCTCTTGCTCGTTTGCCCCGTCTCACCTCCTTCGGACAAGCAAAAAAGCTGGGGCAGCCGCAGAGCAGGCAGAAAATAATAAACGGCACAAATATAAGTCTTTCCTTCAACTTCGATTTTGTTCCCTTTTGAGTAGAGACTCTTGGGCCGTGAGGTTCGAGTGCACAGGCGCTTATTAAAGATTTAAGTTGGCGCTTACTGTGTAGGTTAAGAAAATGTTAAACCCAGATTATACGTTTGGCACTTATAGTATGTAATAAAACTTAGAAAATGTTTTATTTATAATGTTTAGTTTTATATGGGTAAGATCAGTGTTTCCCAACCTATTTGCCCATTCCCCATCTTAGCTTTCCTAAAATACTTATAATATGTAACATACAAAATTGAATGTCTCACTTAAGAAACTTAAATTAAAAAGGTTTCAGGACGAAACAACTTGTAATTTTTAACGAAACATCGTATGTAAGTAGATTTTATAACAAATAATGAAAAAATGGCAATTCAAAATAATGATTTAAAAAAATAATACATAAGGGGGCACCCTTAACAATCAAATTGCACCCCTGCGGGGCGTGGACCCCACGTTGGGAAACACTGCTTTAGATCATGGCATGTAAGTTGGCATCTATACATAAGAAAAAACCACGTACACACTTAAACTAAGGACTAGTTATCATTTATTTCAAGTAACAGAACTATAAAATAAAATATTTTGTATTGTAAATTTCAGGTCCGAGAGTGTTCGCGTGCGCCATGCGGCTGCGGGCGGCGCAGTGGCGCCGCGCGGGATGCGCTTGCGCCGCACTACTGGCCACTGCTGCTCTCGCCGCCGCGCTCTCGTGGAACTCCATCTTCGAATCTGTTTTCACCTCTGTAAGTCTATAATAAGTGGCTTAAGTGTCTCTCAACGTATGTTAGACCCAGAAGGCTGATTACAGATACCGGCAAACATCTGGAACAAATGTCCTTGCCTGCGCAGAAGCGATTTTTAGGCATCACTTGCGGCGAATCGATTGGTAAATCAGTTGACGTTTGTGTCGCAGATGCGCAAACCTTCCCCCACTCTCTTGTTTAATGCTCGAAGAAGTTTGCCGGTATCTGTACTTACTTGTCTTTTAAGAAAAAAATATGATTTCGAAACAGATACTACTTTTTTTTTTATTTAGAAAATTGACAATCCAAAGGATGTTTTGGATGAATTGTCAAATATGAAACTACTAGGCAACTCATAATTCTCCAAACCCAAATTAATTAATTCGTTCTCGTCTCCCCCGACCCCTCTATAAGCGTTTAAATTTAATGTTAATTGCTATGAATAAAAAACGTGGAAGATGACATAAAATGTTTATGCACTTGAATGCCATTTTGAAAAGTTAACAACAAATTAATAAAAACCTTGATTAATTGACGTTTAAAATATCCAGTTTAATTTTTGATTTTCGAAAATTTCACTTCACTTCACTTCACTTTATTTATAATGGCGACATCTGTGTAAATCACAATTCCGCCAATGTCACGTTCTAAGTCTTCACACAGTGAGGATAGATTTGATAATTTTGATACATTGAATTTTATCTAAGCAGAGTTACCCAAAACAAAAATGACATCACAATAAATACAACACACACAGACATCTAATAATATATACAAGAGGTTAACATTTTACTACAAGGTATGAAGGGGAGAATCTTATTTATAACTTTAATTTATTAACAGAAATAAATTTCCCTAATATTTTGACGATCGAGCTGGATGGGAGGGAAAGTAGGGAGTTAAGGTTACATGGACGAGGGAAATCTGGAGAAAGATGGTCAAATAACGAGTCATTAATTAAAGAACAGTTAAAAAATATATGGTCTGTCGAGCCCTCGTCCATACCACACTCACAGAGAGAACTGTCTTTTATTTTAATTTTGGCTAGATGAACGGGAGTACAAGCGTGCCCTATACGAAGACGGCAGATTATAGACGTGACCTTTTTGTTTAAAAACTTATATTTAAAAAACCACGGCGAAGAAGGGATTGAATACTGAATATTAGCATAGTGCCTGCCAGTTTTTTCTTTAGAAGATTGCCAATCAATAGTCCAGGATTTTAAAAGGTGGGAGTACGCAAGAGCTGATAGGTCGTGTGCCGAGATGTTGGGATGCTGACAAGATCCGCAGAAAATAGCACCTTTTGCACAAGAGTCAGCAGTTTCATTACCCGCTATACCACAATGACTAGGTGATTTTCGAAAATTGTCTTTGGAGGTTTGATTGTCAATGGTATAAAATAATACATGATGAATAGACAAAGAGACACTATAGTTCTTCATTACACTGTATAATAAATGTCTATAACAAATTAGCTGTGGCCAGTTTATGGTTATAGAATCTTTTTTCTGCTACAACTTTGTAAATTTGTCTGATTTTGATTTTGAGATTGATTTTGTCTGATAAACAATAAACTACAAGCTTCCTCCTTATCAGAATGCCAAATCGTAAAATGACTGCTTTACGACTGATTTGAGCGCGACCGCCGCTGCGAAATCCGCTGTGAGAGTTCGAAAAGTGAGTTACAGAATCGCAAGGCAGCACAAAGTGTAGTTTCCAATTCGATACCCGTAGAGATCAAAGAGGGAATATATATTTCTTTCTCGTTTTTCAACATTTTTAATGTGTCCGAAGAATTGTGTAGATTCCAGTAGTGATACCGTCAGAGTACTCAATGAGTTTTGAGGACTACATCAAATTTGCATACAACACCGCTTGTACAACATTTTGTGGGGCATCCACACGCTGGCTGTTTGTCACAAACACCGCAAAAAGCAAACGAAGTCCCAAACACCAACCACAATCACCCAACACAAACAGCCATCCACATGCTTGGCGAACGTTCATAACATTCCGAATCGGCAAACATGGCGGATGACGAGCTTGTTGCAGCTATTACTTTCGGGTTGACATATTTTTATTATAAATTAAAGCAAGAGAAGGAAAAAAGGAAAAAAAGAAGAAAGCAAAGACGATGGTGGATGATTAAAATACATAGAAAGCGTACAAGGCTTTAGACCTATTATTTGAGCTTTACTTTGCCGTGTTTTTTTTAAATTTACTTAAAAGTTACTTAAAAATGTCAGAATCGTAGGTGCTCCAATCAGACATTTTTTACGCTTTGCGCGCCAACGAAAGTGTAGCAAGTAAATACGTCCGCCTCCCGCAAGCTCGCGCGCATACTGATCGCTGCCAAACGTGTGGATACGTAGCAAACTGTTTGCCAAACATCCTTTGATCTGGCAAGATAAACCGACACCGATGCCGAACACTGCCCAACACGAACACAAACAGGCAAACAACGACAAACACCCATCCACACGTCCGTGTTTGCTGTTTGCTGTTAGCTGTTTGCCATTGTTTGTCAAGCGTGTGGATGGGCTTTTGCATACAACACAGATCTGTATCATTGTCGCTATTAGAAGTGGCAAAGACCGACTCTGATCCTTTTTGAAGTTCTTCACACGTCGATAGTGTATCTTGTAGAATATTGGAGAATAAATTCTGTTCAGTACTTTTAAAGTTTATATATTACAAACAAAAAACCATTTCACTAGAGTAGATTAACTTTAAAATTAAAACGAATGTTTGTATTCTTACATTCTTCGTTTTAAGTAAAAAGCTTTTGTATAATGAAATTCTTGCTTCGCTCGAATTGAATTCGCAGAATTTTCAAAATGCCATTTGATGGGAATTGCTTTCATAAATCCATATAATGACAATTTTGCTAAAAATAGGGAGATTATAATGTTTGAAAAACATTAACTGAGACATACATTTACGTATTTTGAGCATTTTTGGAAAATTAAATTAATTAGACATGGATCAACCCCATTACCACATCTGTTCTATAGATATTTTTTTCCAACCAACCGAGTCTTCTGACCCGAAACAATATTCTTCGCCGGGAATTGAACCAAGCACCTGGGACGAACAGACAGATTTATTGATACGTTTATGTAAAAATTATTAATTAAAAATACGTAAAATTAATTTTACTTATTGCGTTTCCTAGATGTTGAAGTACCTACAAATATCTATCTATCACCTTTATAAACAACATGATACTCGTATAACAGAAACTAATTAAACATTATAATTAGAGCAGTGTTGGCCTAGTGGCTTCAGCGTGCGACTCTCATACCCGAGGTCGTAGGTTCGATCCCCGGCTGTGCACCAATGGAATTTCTTTATATGTGCGCATTTAACATTTGCTCGAACGGTGAAGGAAAACATCGTTAGGAAACCGACATGTCATAGACCCAAAAAGTCGACGGCGTGTGGCAGGCACTGGATGCTGATCACCTACTTGCCTATTAGATTTAAAAATGATCATGAAACAGATTCAGAAATCTGAGGTCAAGACCTAAAGAGGTTGTAGCGCCACTGTTTTTTTTTAATTAAACATTATTACCCTAGCTCATATTAGTACAAGTGCATGCGCAGGTCCAATTGAAATGTGACCATGAATACACATCATAGATTAATCTATAAGCTTAACCTATGGCCTCAAATCAATCAGACTAATTGTCGCGGTATTGGAATAAATTAGACATTATTTGTATTCAAACATATGCTTAGATAATCACAAAACAAATAAATTAGCTAATTTTAAATCATGTGACAGTCATTACGATTGAAATGATCTTTTTAGATAGATAGATAGTGTTAAACATAAAATCATTATTATATTAAATACATAAATATTAATGTTTACATATTCTTACACAAGTTTCGCTATCATGCTCCTTGAACATACAAAATATCGAGTAAGTCGAAGATATTTCTTACAATAATTTAGTTATAACAATATATGTGTTTTATTCGTCATTAGTAAGATCAATTCTCGAAACCAACTGCGTCATATGGTATTAAAGGTATTAAAGATATAATAACTTATATAAAAGAAGGTACAACTTATTTCCTTACCTCTACCCTAATAAGTTCTTGATGTAGGTTTAAGGGTATGATTCACTAGAACTTCGTAGGGATTTAGCTTTGAACCTCCTTTTGGTTTCTTCTATCTGTGTTTGACATCGTCATTTTGTATGATGATTTGATATTTTAAAAGAGTACCGAGAGTTTTTTACGCCGGCTTTTTCTCTCGTGTACACCTTGTCTTCTTTGACGATGAGTAGGAATGTCTACCGATACAAATTTAATGACGTGGAATAAGTGATACCTGTATCTTATATTCCATAATAAACATATTTTATTTTATTTTGTACGTTCCAACCAATTATCACCGCTGCTGAAAGCATAACTTTTATGCTGTGTATTCGAATCGCATTGTCCAGCGTTAAGAAGCTCCCATTCCCCGCTTACTCTCGCAGCTAGCGCAGACCTCTCTAGTAGTACATAGTTTTCTCGACCTGTTTGTGAAGCATATTATACTATGATTTTAAAATATACTTAGAAATGATGGGATTGATGAGCACAAGGTTTTCTGTTAATTGTATAAAAGATACTTTATTGTATAATAGTTTTATAATATTTTTAGTTGATTGGCCATGTATATATGTATATCTAAAGTCTTTTTTGACTTTCATAAGTGTACATTGTGTTACCTATATGAATAAACGATTTTGACTTTGACTAAGCTGTAAATAAATAAATCAATATATAAATAACAAACTAGAAATGACCATTCGATTCACATGGTATACAGCGCTCAAAGTGCCGTGGTGCGAAATGGAACTAATTTAACGAACGAACTAATTAATAATAATTATCGAACGATAATACCAAGTAGATGTCGATAAACAAATATTTATATAAAGACCAATGTTTCTTAACTTAACTGAGATTAACAAAATTTAAATGATTTCAGCAAGTAGCCCTGAAACCAGATGCAAGATCCTTCCGTGATTGGGTGGCGCCGACTGTGCCTCTCTTCTTCGAGGTGTATCTTTTTAACTGGACCAACCCGGAGAACTTCCCAGAAGAGATTCCCGATTTGGTGGAGTTAGGTAAGATTTATTAAGGAAAGTTAACTTTAAATGTTAATAACGAACATAACATTCTACGCGACCCAACTACACTTAGTACCCAAAATAATTCAACCTAATTTATGAACTAAATTTCTCTTTCGTCTTTTTCTTTCAAATTACATTTACGTTGTGCTGAAAAGGGACAGACGAATTTAAGGTCTGCTTCGTGTCAGTTCCTATACTGTAAGAAGTACTAAGACTTTTTGTAAATACTTATTTATTTATTTTTATTTTGTGTGGTTTTTTTCTAACGAGTAATCTGTAATGGTAGCTTATTTTGTTAAATAAATTAGTGAATATATAATAAATAGAAAGAAAAACGGAATGAGACTGATTTGTTTTTGATCAATAAGGGGGTAAACTTCTACATTCTTCACATGAATAAAGTAAATAATGTATAAACACCTTATTTCCATAACAAATAATATTATAAACTTAAAAGAATGAAACAGCCATACAATAAATACACAAAAATTATGAATAATGTTTTAAAACTACACTTATTGCATGTTACTAATGCTTAATATAGATACTAAAACTCATAATAAAAATCAGTATAACATTTACAACAAATTTTATACAGTTTCCTTCTCTGTGGTTAGCGGGATAAATTATCCAAAACCGGCTTGCAAACCGAAAATTATTATAGAAAATAAAAGAAGTTTTCGATGTTAACAAAAACCATAACATGTTTTGTAACCTTCATACCACCCCAAGACGTAGTTAGTTTTCTCCTGGTTTCTATATTTGACTGTAGATTCCGATTCCGAGCTGGATAAAATATAAGGTTAGGTTAGATTAAGATTTTTTTTATTTTGCTCATAAAGGTTTGTTCCTCTTACTTTGATTTTGTTCCCTTTGGCCGTGAGGTTCAAGTGCACAGGCGGTAATTAAAGATTTAAGTTGGCGCCTGGTAGATAGTACCGGTGACACCACAGCTGTTGCTTTCCTCGCTCAACGAATAAGTATCACAATACAGCGAGGAAATTCTGCTAGCGTTAAAAATACACTGCCACAGGGACCAAACTTATTAAATTTTTATTTATCAATTTGTAATTATTATAAATATGTAGGTTTTGAATATTGTAAATACTGTGTATTTGTGTATTGGTTAAATATTTAATTTCCACATATACATAAGACAGTAAGAAGTAACACCAGTTTTATTGGATTAGCTGTTCTGCGCATGATACGCTCATGCACTTTTCAGTGTCTGCGCTTTTATTATTGAAGTCGGAATTCCATTCCAAATTACTATTGCGACAGGATCGGCGACTGGATTGCACATATAAGTATCTTAGATGGCTTCAATAAGAAGACAAAAAGTCCAGGAGAATTCAACAAAAACCAATTCTAAAATTTAAACATTGAAAGTTTTACAAAATGGAGATAAAAATTATTTTGTTTCACAGTCCTATAACCTCTTAAAAAAGATAAAACAATAATTATCGTATACGTAATAGTGTTATCTAGTTACAAAGTTAAATAATATTGTGCTATTGAACTTTGATGTTTCCGTCCATGTATTAGTGATGATTAGTTTAGCTCTGCGTATAATTTCTTTGTTGTTCATAAAACAGTCTAAAGAACAGATTCCCATTTTAAAAATTATGTATCTCAAAATAATTATATACCACCCAAAAAAATTTTTTTATGCCTAAAGAATGCGCGGAAAGAGAATTATCGTGGGATTTCAGGTCGCAGCAGTTCCAAATTACAAAAAAGTATATATAATTTTTGTAAGTATAATGAAGATCAGTAGACATAGACACAACATTTATTACTAACCAACCACAGAAAATAATATTAATAATCAAAAAAGAAAAATAACAAAAAAATATGGAACGAAAAAATAAGGGAATAAGGTGTAATATGTGTGTTGTGGTTGTAACTGGCCCTGACTCAGCATTATGCTGTGGAGCAAACGTGTTCCACACAAACAGGAGTAGTGTTGGCCTGGTGGTTTCTACGTGCGATCCCTGGGTCGAAGGCTCGATCCCCTGCTGTGCACCAATGGACTTTCTGTGTATGCGTAGATAAGTCTCGCTCGTACGGTGAAAGAAAACATCGTGAGGAAACCGGCATTCCCTAGACCCAAAACTGTTGACGGTGTGTGTCAGTACTTGCCTAATAAAAATGATCACGGAACAGATACATAAATCTGAGGCCCAGACGTAAAAGGATCAGGTCCAGACGCAGTTAATGCTACATCTTTCGCTCACTGCAACTTTATAAATTAAACTTGATTGGTAATTTACGGTCACTTTCATAAAAACTTAAGTTTCTTATCATTTCTTTAACTTTTGAATAATGCATTATTAATTTCTATTTCATTTTGTAGGTAATCATTCTTAACATTGAGACACTACTTTTTTATAGAGCGTAATCATATACCTAAGTCTAACCCTAGCAGTTAATTGGAACTGCATCTGTTATTTATCAATTGTGGACTTGTGTAAGGTTCTTTGTAGTGGTAAATTAAATTATACATAATATATTAGCTATTTAAAGCCCAGTTCCTTTAAGGATTAAGTCTTTTAAATTAAATAACCGCTTTTCAAATTTTATTGTTAGACAGAATTATTGCGACAACTCGTTACCTCTTGGCTCAAAACTCTAACGATTTTAACAGAATAGCCACAGGGTTTTGGCCTCTGATTGCATTTTTCTTGATTTTAGACAAGTACTTATGTGATTTTTACATACTCTTTTCGTCAATATTTAAGTCTACATGACAGTTTTTTCACGAAGTTTGCCTTCACCGTCCGAGCAAGTTCTAGTCCTATGAATTGCATAGGTGCTAAAGCCACTAGACCAACTTCTTAATCTTCCATAAAATCACATTACAGGTCCGTACGTATTCCGGGAGCACCGGCATCACGTGAACATCTCTTGGTTTCCGGAGAACGGTACGATGGCGTACATGACACAGCGGAGTTGGCATTACGACGCGGAGGCCAGTAATGGCACTCTTGATGACAATGTTACCATCATCAATGTCATTGCTGCTGTAAGTCTTAATTTAACAGATACAATTTTTTATACTAGGTCCGTTCTTCAGGAAAAAGGAAAGAAGATATCTATGCGCTATAATAGTCTATAGGCTTTAATGGTTATAAACCTTCTTAAAACCGCAGTAAATATTTTTGCATAGCTGAAAATAACTACAAGAAAACCGCCTTTGTGTATATAATATAAGACAAATGTTTGCAAGCAGCATGTTCTTACACTTATTTTTCTAAATTCAACAATCAAGAAAGAATAGTAAATCATCCTTCTCAACCAATGAATCCAAAGATTTATTTGATTTTATCTTGTTCTCTTTAATATTATACAAATAAAACACCTTTAATCTATTCCAGTCAGCAATATACCGTGCCAAGTATTGGGGCTACCTTCGTCAGAAGACTTTGTCTATGGCACTGGCCATGTTTGGACAGGGCATATCAGTCTCCAAATTGGCTGGGGAGCTCTTGTTTGAAGGGTATGATGACCCTCTAATGGATATTGCTAAGAATCTTCCCGCCAGCACAACAGGAGGTGCACCACCACTGGATAGATTTGGACTGTTTTATGGGGTAAGTTTTGTAATTATCACTTTTTGAAATTGCCTTGTGCGTTGAGGTTCACAATCTTTCGACAGTTCACAATCTCGCGAGATAGATTACAATCTAACGGTGTTTACAATTTTACGGTGACATATACATGTGTGCGCTATAACCCTTGGTTTGGCCCTATCTTTTTTAGTCTTATTTACATTATTACATGCTAATCTCGTGCTAAATAAGTATTATTGCTTACTGATTTCAGTGTCTAGAATAATGGATTTTCGGTTTAAGTTTAAAATATAAGCAGTGCCAGTTTAGTGGTGAGGATTCTCAAATCCTCAATACAGGTGCATTAGCTGGGCATTGCAAGTGCGCTAGACACAGAACTCTGATTATCAAAGCAAAACAAAACAGCAAATATTTGTTGTCATAAATTTTATTTATTTATAAGTTATCTTATAGTTATAAGTCAAGTTAAGTCAAATTCAAAATAACTTTATTCATATAGGTAAACAAATACACTTATGACCGTCAGAAAACAAGTTAAATTGATTCTAAATTTACATTTACTACCAGTTCGTAAGTCAAGGGCGTAGGGGCAAGAACTGGCAAGAAACTTCCACCACTCTTTTTAATCGCTAAGTTTTGAGTCATACAAATTGTTTGAACTGGAGCAAATCAATCCCAAGGATGAGGATCATTTAAATATTTGTCACATTTATAAAAAGCTTTACATAATAATATATATTATAAAAGAAAACACTTTACAAAACAGATTACATTGTTAAACAAAATATACAAAACGGAAGACATAAGTCAATAAGTACATTAATAGATAATAAAAGAAAATTGAAATTAATCATTAAAAAAGCTACAACTTAATATTTTAAAGAAAAAATGTTAACGTTTTAGAAATCCGTTGCCCGATTTTGATAATACTGATTATGTAGGTGTCTCGGGGGACCTTGATTGGAACACCTCCAAGTGATATTTGCTGCCCGAGTTGCGTCTTAGTATAAAAAAAATATTTTAAAATTTTGTATAATGTATTGAAATTCGTAAACAAATCGTACATTTTCTACTTCTCTATTGGTTATTAGAGATGTGACATTCTGCATAATCGGTTTTTTAATTAATCGATTGTTTTTTTAGCATGAATAATCGATGAATAAAAAAAAATCGATTTTTTTATATTTTTTATAGTCTGTTTCAGCCCTAAGTCCTCCCACTTCCTAAAATATTTCCTCATACCCTCTTTGGTAAGGTGACAATGTCTACATAAATCGTATTGTAGTTAGCGAAAACCAGATATATTGGCGAATTACGCAGATAATTCGTGTTCGTATTTGAAATGAACCTCAGGGTAAAATAATATAACTCTTTTAACGATTGTCTCTTTTTCATAAACCTCTCATACAACTATCCACAAACAAATTTATATATTATCGATATCCACTTTTTCATAAAAACAATACAAATGATTTTAAATTTTATTTATAACTTGAATGAATATTTAGGCATATTATTACCTAACTTTCTCCCAACGAAAGTCAGCAAAACATTTCCGAGGCTCTTAACCTTAAGATTTTCAAAAATTTGTTGCCTTTAAGAACAGTTTGATACTGTGATACTCATACCTTGAGGATATGAAATAAATGCAAAAATATTTTAGACTGGGCTAAAAAAACAACTACTGATTACTATTGTACCTAATTATTTCGTAATAAATAGTTTCTTTTTTGACTCGTTTACATATTATAATATTAACATACCATATTATAACCCATACCTACCTATTCTAGATCGATAACTATGTACATACATATGTACTGTACTTGTGTATATGACATTGCTTATAACGACTATCGGATATAACGTCGGCAACTATACGGTCCCTTCAATGTCGTTATAACCGGTTTTGACTGTATAATTCAATACCGTTAATAATTGGAAATGAAGTTTAACATTTACGAAGTAAGTGCAAAGTTTATCATAAATAATAATCCTTCACTGAGAAATGAAACGAAAACAATGTTGATAAACAAGCCATTGAGTGTTATATTGCTATGTCTGCAATTTAAAACTTTATCCAATTGACTGAGTAATGGACAAGAATCAATCATAACGAGGCGTTAATAGACGTTGATACTAATAATAACACAATTGCTTGTTATCAATGATTTTGAAGGACAAGTATTATTGTTTGGTTCCCGATTTTGTGTAATAATACAAAAAGTTTATAGTACCTACCGAGAATAATTTAGTATCTTAGACATAATTGTACGGCACGTCGCATTAGACTGATCACTTTTCTATTAGTGCAATTAAATTAATTCTTAACTTTTATTATTATACTTGGAACAAAACACTAGATTAGGATAGTTTTAACCGTAACTCATAAGTCAATATCCTAGTGTTACCATGAACAACAACATTTATACACAACGATAGATAAGACAAAAACGTACCAAAGATTATAATTTTTTTACAACACCTATACAGAAATATATGATACGCAAAAATGTCAACCCGTTGCCCAAAATTGGTTCTAATATATACACATTAATCATGTATAAAAAAGATAAAAATTTTACGATTAAAAAGAGAGGTGGAATGTTTATGGCCAATTATCAATAAACATTCTGATTTTAATTAGACTTGTTTACAAAGGTTGAATTATTACCTTGTTTTTCAGAGGAACAATTCCATTGACACCGACGGTTACGTTGAAATAACGACAGGCGAGGTTCCCGGGGTTCTGCCAGGTCAGATAGTTCGGTGGAATCATCTTGACCACCTGCCGTATTACGAGGGATCTTGTTCTAAGGTAATTAAGTATTTTTTGTTCCAAGGAAATAAAAGTAGGCTGAGTACACTTAAAGATTCGCGGTTCTCACCAACCCAATACAGGAAAGAAAACAAACGTTTTCACTTGATTATAATATTTAATCTATGTTGATAACATAATTTAATCTTAAAAAAAACAAGTGTGTGTACTTATGTACACGCGTTAGAAGTTTTCTTTGGCGTAACAAGATAAAAATCTTTTTAAATTTTTTATTTTTCGCCTTATTCTACGCCTGTAGAAAAAACGACACTAGCAATAGAAAAAGGTATTTAATACATTGAAAGTTTTATTATAACGCATTATCTAATAAAATAAAGTTTATTTAAATGTAAAAAAAAATTAAATAATTAAAGAATTGGACATTTTTTATTTTAAAATGTTTACTATGCTAACTTCAGAGAGTCGGTTTTTTGTGACGGTGTGCTTCGCTAACGCGCTAAAAGAAGTATAACTTCAAAACTAAAAGACTAGTTTGATCGGTAATTCAGCTCGCGTTTCTATTATTTAAATGTGACGTACAGAACCCATACATAATATTGATTTATATTTCCAGATGGCTGGTAGTGCGGGTGAGTTTATGCCCCACAACCTGACTGAAGAGTCCCAGCTCGAAATCTTCATGGGAGATTTGTGTCGTACTGTGTACTTCGACTATTCTGAGACATGTACTAATCTGGGGCTCACCTACCATAAGTATGAGCTGACTGAATCCAGCTTTGATTTTTGTAAGTCTGTCGAATTAATAATTCGGAAATAAAAACCTATAGAACTAGTTAGGAATTAACAGTTAGTATTTCACTTAAGAAATATGTTCGTGAATTTGCTCATTCAGTGCTGATACAGATAAAATATAGGCTGTATCAAAAATAATTTTAGAATTCTGCTGTCGCTATTTACGCTAGGTAGAGTAGTCAAGACGCAGCTTTACTTCAAAAATATCTTGAAAAACAGTTTTTATAAGACATAGTATGCTACTACCTTTTAAGGACTGGGCTTCAGATTTCTGTACCTGCATGTGATGCAGGTGATCTACTTTCTGTGCCTGATAGACGCCGTCGAGTTTTAAAAAAAACATGACGAGACAAGATTCTTTCCACAACATCGTGTTTTGTTTTTTTTTCGTACAACAACTGAGCGTTTCTTAAGGCAATTTCTGCCCCGCACCACCACTATGTGAAACCAGCTGTCCACTGAAGTATTTCCGAACCAATTCGACTAAGGGTCCTTCAAGAAAAGAGCGTCCCAATTATTTAAAGGCCAGCAGCGCGCTTGCGCTTCTGGCAGTGCGATTGTCCATGGGCGGTGGTATCACTTAACATCAGGTGAGCCTCCTGCCCGTTTGCCTCCTTTAACATAAAAAAACACCGTACAAGCGAGTGATAAATGAGCACATAGACAGAAAGCGCATTGGTGCACAGCCGAGGTTCCAATCTTTCAAAATTAAATACAAGTCCAACACTGCTAATCTACTTAATATTATTTTAAGTAGATTATATAATAATACACTTATAATTGATTCCAAATTTTGAGTTGAAAAAGATGAAGGAAGAAAAGATCTTTTATCAAAAACTGCTTTTTAAAGACGCCATTATTTGATCTATTAGGCTTATTAAACAACATTGGGCTTGCCTCTGAGGGTCTGAATTAAATAATACTTCCAGCACCGTCAACTCCTGACCATACCTGTTTCTGTGACGAGGAGTGTGGCTGGCGCGGCGTGATGAATGTCTCCGCATGTCGGTATGGAGCACCCGCCTTTCTATCTTTACCACACTTTCTACATGGGGACCAGGAGCTTCGAGACAAGGTCCAGGGCCTCAGTCCTGACCCTAAGAAACATTCCTTCTACTTTGGCGTTGAACCGGTGAGTTAATCAATCCTGAAACCAAAATTAAACGTGATTAAGAAAATATTCTTCTACATGTATAAGTATATGTATGAGAGGATAATGCTAATTTAAGCCATTCTATATTGGACAGCTGTATAGCAGGTTTAGTCCAATCAATAAACTATACTCTGATTTTTAAATCCGTAAATTCTGATATTCTGATAGCTATCATTTTTGATTTCAATTTCAATGCGACTCCGAACATCTAAGTCTATACATACATTTTATTTGTTAGTGAATGTATACAATTTATTAAGTGTGGTGCTCCACATTAGAAGTGGTTGTACGGCGAGTGATAATTACGTCCCTTTTCATCACAGACAGTAAAAAACGCACAAGTAAATATAACATTTTTTTTTAAGGTTTACTAAACCTGGAATTAGTAGGCAGTGATGCCAGCTAAATAATAAAATAAAGTAATTAAAGTAATTTTTGTATTAGGTTACTTGAGTAAGTAAATATTTAGATTTACCTTTTTCTAGGTAAAACGTAAAAAATACGTTTAAATAATTTTTTTATTGCCCTCAAATGGGTCAAATTTGTCCCTTTTTCGGTGGAGATCTTTTTTAGTAACAGCACTTATGAAATGTCAGAATTCTACGGAATGAAAAATCAGAGTTTATGTACTATGTTTATTCAAGACAACTTTAGTCTAATAAAATGTTGTGTATATTTAATTTAGAGACAATTTAAACCCCTTTATTAGGTAGACATTTATATAGATAGTTTATATAGATAACTATATAAACTTATTAAAAAAATACGGCAGCAACAATTCAATAGTTTAGCGTTTACCAGCCGATTCTCAACGAAATAAATCATTATTTCGTTGAATCGTATAGAAACGGTCAAGTCACATATTTGCCTTTAAAAACTGTCGCAGGCGAGATATACAAGGTGTACTAACGTGCCTTAACAATAACGATAATTGCACCAACAATGTAGCTATGAAGATGGTATATAAAACGGTCAATCAGTTCATTGAATGACCAATTAGTAACAGTAGACCTGGTCCACTTCCCCTATTAATCTTGAAGTGACCCTACTATCTTAATTGCATTCGCGGACTTGTTTATAGTCAGGGTTATTGCAATAAACTAATATCTAAGTTTCTATCGCTTTATGTATATTACATAATCAAACTAAAAGTGTATAATGATAGAAGACGCATTGCTGTCTCTTGCACAGACTATGAAAGTTGTAGATTGTTTTGTTTTTTACTTGAACCTAATGTGACAACATTTTCTCAATGGAGCAAATTATTACGACTTTGAAGACTTCTATATTTTTACACATTTTATACAGAATTGATGGACAGATCTCTCTAGGGATCTCAGACCTATAAAGTAGATATAGATGCATGTATATTATACCAGAGAATCGTAGAGTAACTGTAGGATGTGGCGCGAATTTCTGTTCTGTTCCGCGCTTCATTTATTACAGTGTATACCTAATGACTTTAATAAAAATAAAAAAATCAGTGGCGCTACAACCTCTTTAGGTCTGGGTTTCAGTTGGAATGAATGTTAAATGCGCACATAGAAAGAAAGTTCACTGTGCACAGCCGGGGATTGAACCTACAACCTCAGGGATGAGAGTCGCACGCTTAAGCCACTAGGCCAACGCTGCACTGTGTAATGACTTTACATCTTGAAATAAACAGGTTTATTATTGTCTTAACTTCCAGTTTAATCACGAGGTTATTGATAAATAATTGAACGCCATTTATTTTGATTAGCGAGTATATTTTATTGTTTTTATAAGTAAGACCCTTAGTTTTTATTAGTATGTTTTTTTTTATCGTAATTTATTGTTTTCAGAAACTGGGTGTTCCTGTCGACGTGTCGGCGAGGTTTCAGTTCAACGTATTCATAGAACCTACACCTAATATTGCGTAAGTTCAAATTAAACTGTATATTAAACTTTCTAAACCGATTAAATTGTTCGTAGTAAGGACTTATTTATAAAGATTAATAATAATTAATTGTTTATTTGCAAAGAAAGTGGCACCAAAACTTATGGTCCAAATACTCTTCCAAGCTATAAAGGCACCTTGCCTTTAAAAATTTAATCACCTTTCCATTGAAATCATTACACGGCAGTGATCTATAACTTCTGGGAAGGTGATTTAATAGTTTGATAGTCATGGTTTTACAATTGTTCGATGTTAAGACATATTAGTTCTAATACAGTGTGTCTTACCTTAGAAATAAGAGCCTTATAACATTTCCATTTAATTAAAACATCTTTGCATTCTGTGTACGCTGCTATATTGTTTATGGCAATTGTAAAATTATATAAAATTTTTAGGATGTTCGAATCGGCTCCACGGATGCTGTTTCCCGTATTTTGGGTCCAGCAGAAAGTGATGATAGATAACAAAATCGCATCGGAGTTGCGAATGGTGCGCGCTGTATCGGATTGGGGCGCCACGATATGCGCGTGCGTCGCCCTAACATTCGCGGGGATCATAACACTTGCCTCGTGCTGTAAGAAATCTCAATTAAAGAAACCAAAAGATATTATAGTGACGTTGGAGAGGCCGAGGGACGAAGCCGAAATGAAGTTGAATCCTAGTGAGAAGCAGTGAGTTGTGATATTAAAATTGTAAGGACCTATGTGAGCTCATTGCTTGGAAGAGGATAAATAGCGGATGTTATATTTTAAAGCCTTAACTCTCTACGATATTCGACATAACTGTGGGCAAGTTCGCACGTTTGAAAGCAATTTAAACTTATAAAACGGTGAAGGAGAACAACGTGAGGAAACCGGTATGCCTTAGACCCAAAAAGTCGACGGCGTGTCAGGCACAGGAGGCTGATCATCCTCTTGCCTATTAGATTGACGATCATGAAACAGATACAGAAATCTGATGCCCAGACCTAAAAGGGTTGTAGCGCCACTGATTTTTTTATTGATTTCAATTAATGTTAAAATTGGCCTGATATCGAATATCCTTCGAGAGACATTACTAACCATACTAATAAACTTGATTTAGCGCTATTGTTATAATAATGAGCTTAAAGTGCTATGGAGCTGTGTATATTGAGACAAATACAACATTAATGAAAGCTTCCGTATGAGAAATAAGCTTTCCCAATTGCATGTATTGTTTGTAGCGGATAATGCTTTATTACGCCACTGAACAATGTTATATTGATTGGTTTGATATCAAAAACCTTTCTGTTGCTAAACGCATTAGTGGGTGGGTTTCGTTAAGTTACTAATACCACGACGTTATTCGTTATATTTAAAGCTCAGCTCTGTATATAGAAAAGTATAGTTTTACTTACTCATAAAACTAAAACAGTCTCGTTACACAGTTTTTACTAAAACTGTATGTCTTCTATGACAATTTGAAAACAAACTAAGACTGATTTAGTTTTTGAGGGTAAAGAACAAGGCCGGATTTAGAGGAGAGCAGGGCCTCTAAAATAGAGGTTTTGAAAAAAAGTTGTAAGTTCCGGTGGTAAACGCCAGTAAACAACTTTTCTTAGGTTATATTTTTACATGTTTGTTAAATATCAAAAGAACAAGTAGATTCTTTTAGTATTTATTTCACAATGAATTATTGATTGAAAAACTCGACTGAACATTTTTTTTTTCATTTTATATGGAAAATAGTATGGGGTCGGGGGGCCTTCATTCCTTTGTTGCCCCGATGCCTCTAAATCCGGCCCTAGAAAAGAATGCAAATTGACAATTGCCAAACGCTTAATACTTGTTAAAGCATGAAAAGGTTTTTCATACAATATTTAATTATAACAACAAAACACTCTTTCTAAAGTTGGACTGAGAAAGATATCTTCAAAGTCGTTCATATCATGACATTACCTTAAAATTAACTCGACTATAGAAACGATAATTTTGTATGGAAAACCCGTTCCGTAAAATGAATCGCTAAAAGCAACAAGTTTCTTAAGCTTAAAATTAATTATTTATTTTGTAAAATTGAATTTTTGAATATCATGACAAGTTGCTGTGACTTTAGTATAATCAATATAATTTAACAAGTACATTAATGTAAAGCTTGATTTTTGTTTTAATATAATGTTTGGTCGGGGTCTCCTACGCCTATTTTTGAATGTCGCTTGCACAGGAACGCACGCGGCGGTCGAGATTGCGCAAGACGAAGGAAAGGTCGCTCTTAAAGGGAGATCGCGGTTTTACATTCCATCCCAGGAGAAAGTACACTATATGTTAACTATATTTAACTAATTTTAATAATATGTAAATATTTTTCGTCCTTAGTGATAGATGAAACGAATAAGTAAATTTTTAGGTTAATAGTTTAACGTACACCGATTGTAGCATTTTTCATAGTTTTATAAAATTCGAAACGATAATTTTTATTATTTTTTATAAGTAATAATTTAAATGCATGCGTTAATGCATTGATTTTGCTTGTTATAACATTGTTTCAATCACCACAATGTATTATTTCCACAAGAACATATTTTTAGATTAAGGATTTTGTAATCCCGTTCAATATCGTTGGGAAATATAGACAAATTCAGCACAGGTACAAGTAGCGGCACGAAACTCTAGCGCTGACCGTTATTGCGTTGAAGTAAAAAATAAGGTACCTGAGGGGGGCTAGCGGAATGAAGAGCGTCGATTGGATCTCCAGTCGCATTCCGTCCCCCGCACCGATACGACACCGCTAGACTCACGCTAGAACGTATCGGCCAGCGCTAGACTTACGTGCCGCTGCCTATACTATGTAACTTCCAATATCAACGATTGTCTTCACGTCATGTTCACGTAATAGCGCTGATTTCCTTGGGATCGCGCCGTACAAAAACTCAATATAAAATCGGGATCGCAATCGCTATCGCTACTGAAAAAAGGCGCAGGCCAGTTTGTAATGTTTTGTCATAATATTGCTGTTAATAGAGAAAACATCTCACAGATATTTCAACTTTGATTCACCCTAAAGGAGCCCAACTATATATATATATAGAGCATATAAATTTATAACAGTTATATTTAATAATAAGACCTGTATAATGTGTTTATATGATATATTTCGTGTGGATACAGGAGAGTAGATTAAATTCTACTCGTAACACAGTACTTTACGATAATTGTCTTACGTTAGATGAGATTATTATAGATATGAATAAAAATTCTAACAATCTTATTTCCTATTATCTATGCTCTTGTATGGCCTAGAAAAAGATGTATGTTGTATTTATAGACGTAGACATATGACCGCTCTCTATGTATTTTTTTGACAAATGTCATACAGGGTGAAAATGCATTCCATAACAATGATGTGATGTTGATATTAAATGAATTGTTTTAAGTGACTTTGTTTTTTTAAACTTTCGAATTGATTGTTCGAATGTGATTTATACAGCTATCCTTATAATATATCACGCTATATACAAATAATAATAAGCCTCATTTATTCCTTGAAATATTCATCCAAGAATCTCTTATAGGCCTTGTTCAACTGACTTCATCTCTCTCTATCTTGAGCATTTATCTCCCAATCTTACCCACCAATTTCTTTAAGCTCGTCAGCACACCGTGCCAGAGGGCGACCTCTCTGTTCCCTGGTGGCCCTTTCGACCTTGTTACCCTGTTTGTCCATCTGCCATTGGTCATGCTAGTGGTGTTGCCCATTTTCACTAAAGTTTTTTGCAATTGGAAAGTCTTAAACTGGTTTTATAGTACATGTAAATGCAACCTTTAAAACTTTTAAAATATAAGTACATGTAGATGCAAAAAGTATTTTTGTTTTAGGTTAAAATCTGTCTATATATATCGTTTAATACCTTAAACGCCGCACGTATTACTTACGTCAGTACAGAACAATCTGATTGCCGTAAGGTAATTATTTAATCAGGATCAATCAAATGTAATATTAACTATGCTAACCGTCTTTAAATACATTGTTTAAATTTTAAGTACTGGGGGTAAGTAATGTCAACTCCAGTATGCCAATTGCCAAATGGTTATTGGGTTTTGACAAACAGAAGTTGTAAACTAAGTAAGGGCGAGAATTATCCTTAGATATTCAGAGTCGATACTAAGAGCTAAGTATTTCTCCCGTGTATCAAAATCGGATTGGATCAATTTTTTTCTGAAATGGATTACTTGGCTTGCGATAAAATATATCATGTATGTTTCAAAATCGTGTTTTATATAAATTTTCGTGATATAATGAATTCAAAGTGTCAAAAATTATCTATGTTTGGATTTTTTTTCTATCTAGCGAAGTTATTTAAATCGTGTACCAATCTTTCAAAATGGATACATAAACCACTCAACTCCACCATTATTTCCATTCTCCCTACTTCAAGAAATGATGACGAAAAATGGAAAGAAACAATGTACTTTTTCGGAGCTTGGCGACCAGATCGGTCCTTAAACACGAGGGATTGATAATAGAACAGCGAGTGCAATCCCTGGCCATCCAATTAAATCTTCTCGTCTATCTCGGTCTAAGACGCAAAAAATCAACGGTTTGTGTCAGGGACATCACATAATTCTGTATAGCGAAAACTAATCAAAGAAAAAACTAAACTGAAGCAATGTTTTTTTAGTAATTTATTAGATCAGAAAGAGTCGATAAGTGCATATGCCCTCACACACGTCATCTGTCAATTTAAGATAACTCCTATCTCCCCTGAGTCCTTGGCGTCACAAATTGCTACAATCAAGATGACAATTGGGTGATTTTTCAATCAACAGGTAGCATCCTGCGCTCAGATCACGGCAGGAACCCGCGGAGCAATGTTTCATACATGACTTATTTGTTTAAGTAAAACTGTGAAGTGAAAATGTTGAAAATTTTAATAATTCTCGCTGTTGGTAAGTTTTTAAACTTTGAATCATAGCAATTGTATTTAAGTTTGATATGAATTTTAACATATTTTATTAGAGTTTTAGTCCGCAATATTTAAAATCGAGAATCTTGATAACAAGTTTCTTACTACATCGAACATATTTATAATATCAATACATATTTATTAAGATATTTTGAATTAAATATTAAGAACATTTTCGTATCTAGTGTTTATAAATTTAGAAACCCAATTGATCAATCCCAAAGAAATGTTTATAAGTACTAGTTTAATGGAAGCATTGCTTAAAACATCGTTTCTCAACCATTTTTATGTCGCGACCCACGAAAAAGTTAAGTAAAACAGTCTTGCGACCCCGTCACTGTAAAACTATAATTTAGTTTTATAACACTATAATTTTTAATTCTTTTTAAAACTAATATTTTGTACCTATATGTAGTTTGTATTTATTATTTTTCAACAAACTGCAACCTCCTTTTAAAACAAACTCAACCTCCCCAAGGGTCGCGACCCCCGCTTGAAAAAACGATGGCTTACACCAATGACTAACTACCTCCTCATTTTGCGTTGATTTCATCAGACGAACATCGCAATTAAGGCCTTATCCTTTACTAGGTTTTGCTATAAAACTCAACACTAAAATATCATTTAACGACACCACTCGTTAGAAACCTTCACTAGTAACTTTGCCGTGAATGCCACAATAGTGGAAGATAATATTAACTTATTATTAAATCCTTCTATAATGATTTTCAGCTATTTTATCTAACTCGGTTCTTTAGAAAACCAGTACCGGCTTGTCACGGCTGAAGATTATTGTTTTAAGTGTTTTGTAAATAACTATGTTATTCACGGGTATTATATGATTATAATTATAAATTTAATAAGAATAGTGAAATAATAAAGTTGTCTTTGTGTAAAACAAACATAGTAGGTACATACTTGCTTTTTATAAGTAATCTGTAAAATAAATTTGATATTATAACCACAATATTGTATGGTTATATTCTGTGATGGCTAGGCACGGATGGTGAGGTCAGGTCGGGTAAGCCTGGTTGTACATAATTGGACCAAATCTAGGATTTACTAGAGAAGCGTCAAAAGTACCCATAACCGACGAGCATGCATGGTGAATGTATGAAAGTAGATGAAGCGAGAGTGGCACGTAGGACCGTACCAAGTGGCGATCCGTGATCTCTGCCTACAGTGTAGAAGGAATCTGTTCTGAAGGTGTAAGCCCTACACCTTCAGTACAGATTCCTTCCTTTGAGTAAATATGGGGCTTACATATTTGCTACTTGTTATATGACAGGCGCAATAAATGAAGTCTACAGAATATCCACGTGAAATAATTTTTCTAGCACATCCTATCTAAATGTATTCGTTCGGAATTCATTAAATACGGCATTTTTGAACTGAAACTATCAATCAACTGTCTATAAAAAAACAATATAAACAAAATGATTTTTCTGACTCAAATTATAAGTCTGCAAATAGACTTCAAAGATTAGCTGTTAAAACGGTCACATCCGCAAGTCCAATTATATCTAGGTCTCTTAACATATTCTAGAATGTACAATAAAATCTAGATGTCGGCTATCAAAATATAAATCGGTAAATTGAAAAAACATGTAAATGATTAAAATGCGTAAAATATGTTTATGATAACATAATTAGTATTATTTCTACTGTTTGTCGTTAATATTAGGTCCTTACATATGAAATTGGCGTTTTGTATGGGAGGAACAAAAAGTCGAATATTTTTAAATATAATATATTTAATTAATGAAAGTATGAACCATTGTTTTCTATGCACTTTTGCAATCTCATAGGTAGTTCATTGATCCCTTTACTAAAAAAACCAGTCGGACGGGAATCAATAAAATCTGTGAAGGCGATTTGGACTGCCCCATCAGAGTTAAATTTTTCCCTTGCAAGAAGTTGTCAAAATTTCGAAAAAAATGGTAATCTGTTGGAGCAAGGTCCGGGGAGTACGGAGGATGTCTTAGACATTCCAATTGAAGCTCTTCTAATTTGGTAGCCGTCTGTTGTGCAGTGTGTGGTCTAGCGTTGTCGTGAAGTAGCAGTGGCATGGAGCGATTGACCAGCCTAGGTTGTTTAGCCGCTAGCTTTTCCATCATGGTTTGCAATTGCTGACAATAGACATCAGCCGTAATAGTCTGGCCAGATTTGAGAAAACTGCAATGAACAATACCGGCACTAGTCCACCAAACGCTTACAAGTAACTTTTTTGGGGTTAATTTTAGCTTGAGGCAGGATTTGGCTGGCTGGCCAGGATCCAACCATTGCGCTGAGCGCTCCCGATTATCGTAAAGAATCCATTTTTCATCACAGGTAATGATTCGGTATAAAATACCTTCATTATTGTGCCGGTTCAGTAATGTAACGCAGCAGTCGACGCGCGTTTGCCGATTTGCTTCAGTTAATTCGTGAGGTACCCATCTTTCAAGCTTTTTAATCTTCCCAATTTGCTTCAAGTGAATTAAAACAGTTTTATCAATAACACTGCAGCCTGCAGCCAACTCGGACGTGGTTTGCGATGGATCCGCTTCCACAATAGCCTTCAATACTTCATTATCAACTTGGGTCTCAGGCCGTCCACGGGGCTTGTTCTGCAGGTCGAAATTTCCAGAACGAAAACGTTGGAACCAAAAACGAACTGTGTTTTCTTTTGCAACATGACCGCCATACACATCATTCACGCTTCGAGTCGTTTCCGCGGCACTAGTGCCACGGCGGAACTCGTACTCGTAAATAATGCGATACTTTAAGTTTTCCATTTTGTAAAATGAGTGACGCAAACAGAAAAAAACAGAAGAAAAAAAAACAAATGAATGACGGTCATCGAAGCACAAATACATGAGTAAATAGCTGTACAAATTTGAATTTGGAATTCCTTACCAAAGAGGAGAACATCGTGATTAAAGTGGCCAGTACGAAAAACGCCAATTTCATATGTAAGGACCTAATATATTATAAAGTCGGTTAAAAATTATTTTTGTGGCTTTATTATAAAAGCGCCATCTATGTCAGACAGCTGGTACTACAATATCACGAACAAATAGCTGTACGTGTCACTGCCAAGGACATGATACATGAAGACGAAGTGTAACAAGCCGGCTACAATATTGCTTAATATTCTTCATTGTTTATTCTAAATCATAATTTCGAGTATAAAAACAACAAACCACGGGCGATAAGTGTTTTGGAAGTTTGTTATGTAAGTAAATTGAGATAACATCACAAATATTTTACATTATTGTACCAATTCGAAAATTAATTACTAGACAGCTGATGCGTGTGACGCCATCTTTGCTGTCTGTTACTTTGACATTTGACAGTGCGTAAGTATTGCTAGCATTACAGATTAAGATTGTTTTATTAAAAAGTATTTAACAATTTTTTTATAGCGAGCGCAATAAATGGTGAGGAGGAAGTCATGAAGAATCTAACTACAGTTACTTGGGCGCATGCCGTAAACAACAAAACATATCTTGAAGCTGCTTTGGCAAGTAAGTGAATAGGCTGATGACGCACAGGTAACAAATAATGAACGAACAAAGAAAACTTCATCTCACACAATGTAATTTACTACTTCGCGTCGGCGCCTTTTCTGATAACGGACTATGCGAGTTCCTGACTGAGACTCAGGAGTTCCTGGGATCAAATCCAGGCGTAAACCACAGCTACTTGCATGTAAAGATCACAAACAAATCCTTCTCTAGTCTTGCTATATTATTTCGTATATTGATGCGAAAATATATAAACAACGTTAGTATATAAGTATCAATCACATACTTCACAGCTGTAAATAAATACGTGTCATGAGTTAATCTAGTAAGAATGTTAAACGCTTTAATTGATATCAATCAAGGAATAACGTAAAGTGTAGACGAAACACACCAGACCAGCTGTCGCGTCTGCTTCTTGGAAAGCTTCGTGATTAATTAACATTTTACGGTCACGAATTAAATGTGTTAAGTAGATGATAATATTGTACATACATTATGTACAAAAAATTATCATAAAGAAATGGCGCCACATTTCAGCATCTGATTTTATTGATTTGATTTTTGGACTTTTGGGTCTCAAAGTAAGGTTTAAGCTTCAGAGTTGATCCAATAGACTGTTGACACATGGGTTCTTGTGTATCTAACTTTGAATCTTACCTTTAGATATGCCAGTTTCCTCATAAACGGGCACGGGTTGGGCATGGGCATGTGTTCAATAGACCTCAGTGTGCAGAACCACTTGCTTGTACACTAAACAGTTTACGTACTTAAAATTAATTTTACTTTATTATAGCCGATGTTTCAATGCTGGAAGCAGACATCGTGTTAGGTCACGTGAAGGGCAAAGATGGTCCTCCGATTCCGATAATGGCGCATCCCCCAGCGACAACATCAGATCTTACATTAGCAGACTTCCTTACTGCCGTATCCCAGTACAATAATCTGAACTCAAAGCAAAAAGGGGTAAAATTGGACTTTAAGACAATCGAGGCGTTCGAAAAATCCCAGGATCAGATTGCCCCATTCGCAAAACCAGATGTAAGTTATTTATTAAATAAACTTTATATCATACGGTAGACCATGATATTATATGCGAGGCTAACGTGGATGGTGAAATACTGGACGTACTAGAGAAGCGTCAAAGCCACCCATAACCGACGATTATGATTGGTGTTTTTTTTAAAGACAATTCACACCAATTGACCTAGTCCCATGCTAAGCTGGTGAAGCTTGTGTTGTGGATACTAGGCAACGGATATACATACATATTATAGATGGATAGACATATATAAATACATATTTAAACACCCAAGACCTAAGCACAACACCAAATGCTCATCACATCGATGTTAGACTCAGCCGGGGATCGAACCCGGGACCAATGGATTCGCAGTCAGGGGTGCTAACCACTAGACCAATGAGTCGTCATAATCTTGAAAGTGGATAAAGCGAGAAGTCAAAGTCAAAATCATTTATTCATTTAGGTAGCACAGTGTACACTTATGAACGTCAATAAAGAAATACATATTAAATGCTAAATGCTTCTAATTTTACATATACTGCCAGTTCTCAAATCAAGGGCGTAGAACGGACGAGAAGAACTGGCAATAAACTCTCCGATAGAGATCTGAGGTCTCTGCCTACTCCTACAAAAAGAGTGTGTACTCAAAAATACATGTGATTGCAACGTCTCGTACATTTCCCTATATAAATTTATAGTTGTCAAATGCGTTTTCTTAGAAAGTGCTCGTAAACACTTGGGATTACAATCTTAGTGTAATGTTTCACTTAGATTGTAAAATTTATGGTCTGTTATCTTAAAAATTCTAACACATTAAACAAGTAGGTACTAAAACATGATACACTAAAAGGCACTTAAATTCACTAGCAAACAATGACACATCGAAAAACTAGTGAACACCGTAAAACTAAATTTATGCGCTGACCAGGATTTCTACTTGTACTACTATGAACGCCAAAAAAGAAATACATATCAAATGCTTCTAATTTTACATTTACTGCCAGTTCTCAAATCAAGGGCGTAAAACGGAAGAGAAGAACTGGCAATAAACTCTCCGATAGAGATCTGAGGTCTCTGCCTACTCCTACAAAAAGAGTGTGTACTCAAAAATACATGTGATTGCAACGTCTCGTACATTTCCCTATATAAATTTATAGTTGTCAAATGCGTTTTCTTAGAAAGTGCTCGTAAACACTTGGGATTACAATCTTAGTGTAATGTTTCACTTAGATTGTAAAATTTATGGTCTGTTATCTTAAAAATTCTAACACATTAAACAAGTAGGTACTAAAACATGATACACTAAAAGGCACTTAAATTCACTAGCAAACAATGACACATCGAAAAACTACTGAACACCGTAAAACTAAATTTATGCGCTGACCAGGATTTCTACTTGTACTACTATGAACGCCAAAAAAGAAATACATATCAAATGCTTCTAATTTTACATTTACTGCCAGTTCTCAAATCAAGGGCGTAAAACGGAAGAGAAGAACTGGCAATAAACTCTCCGCCACTCTTTTTAATCGCCAAGTTTTTTTCTTTACACAATGTTTGTAAGAAACTGCAACCATTACACCATGTTCCATATGACTTCCTAAGTAATTCATAATAAATTAATAATAATAAAATAAATTAACATAACATTCATAACGACTACGAGCCCCGATGCAAATTAGTTTGTCTAGTATAGAAAGTAGTGCAAAGCGTTAAAATATAGGAAGTAAATATTGGTAAAATAATTTAGAACGATTAATAAAAGTAAACCACAATTTGAGGAATATTTTAAAGTTTATTTTAACATAACTGAAATTCTTTCATGAAATACATATCATAAAAAAAAAAAAAAATATTCTAAAAAACGTAACGCAAAAGTATTCATCTACCCTTGTCACTCACGCAAAATAGTTCGTCTACCATTTAGTTGTGTCGCCTTTGCTCTCAATGATAGCTTTAATGCGAAGAGGCATGGTTGCTTCCAACGCTGCACACTCCTCAGACAGATAGATATACAAAAATAATGAAGTTAGAAAAAATTTCACACTAGACGAACTATTTTGCATCAGGGCTGGTAACCATGGCCGCACGCGGCTGGTATAAAAAATACACCAACTATTAAAAACTAACCCAGGTAGATAATAAAATAATAAAAAGCTTACAAATAATAATAATACACTTATTATTTTAGAAAACAATACGAGACAAATCAGGCTAGATTTTCTAACCATCTTAAATTTATGAATCACCCTACACCTTATTTATTTAGACCTATTGTTTCTATAAATAGCAATATATCTCTCCGACCTTTAACTGACACTCATATTCCATTCAATCCTCATATGAGTCATGTAAATAGCTCGTTTAACTAATTGCTTTGAACACATTCGGTCAATTAAAGTCCACACAATTCTCGCTGTAATGGAGATGAGACACGAGTTATGTTGACATATACGCGCTACCCAATTCCACCAATTCGTAAGAGATCGTTTTAGATTTAAATCCTAAACGTATGTAATATACGTACGTTATCAAATAAAGAGTGAAGATCCCTAGTTCATAATCTGCTGTTTTGCTGGTCATTTTTTTTCTGCTTAACAAAAATTTCTGATATTATTATTGTATTTTTAATTTTTTATTAACATAAATGTAACCTAAATTGTCACAGATTTTAGATAATTACCGATAACTACCGCTTTATTATTATAATAACATTTTAAATAATCGTTATTATAATAATGAAGCGGTAGCTTTTAAGTGAACATTATTTATTAATACAGAAAACACTATTAAGAATAATGTTCTACAAACAAAGGTCCTTTGTATTGTAGACTTCCGCGTTATACTTGTAGTAAATCAAAACCCTACGGCATTGAAGTAATGTTCATAATTCAATGTTATATTTCAACTGAAATGACTAACTTTTGAAAATTAAGACCTGGTTATGTGGAAATATTTCTTTTCGTTGCTACTATTATTGAAATAAATATGTTAAGGCTAAATTAATTTGAGATTAAGATTAATATATTCAAGTAGGTTCTTGAGAAGCTTTTGAAATATTTCTTTGTGTTTTTGATAGCTGTTAGATATTTTATAGCTACTCTTCACTAGGTATCATTCCCACTGTGGCTGAACGCTGACATCCTCGCGGGTCCGATAGACGCGGAGACCAAGCCAGTAGACCCCGAAAAATTCCTTACCATGGGATCAAAGCATAAGCGAGCTGTTCTCTCTGTGGGCTGGACTACGCATTATGGTGGAAATAATACTGAAGGGGAATACAGTCGTGACCAGATTGGTTCAATGATACGGCTCCTCAATGAGAATCATGTTAATCAGACTGTTACGTTTCCGGTAAGTTGTGTTATTCCATGTTCATCTTAGCAGCAAATTTATTATATTTTGGTGACAATGTAGAGTAATTATGAAGAGCTTATCGCCGACACCGAAGCCTATTTTGAGGCTAAATCGTACTACAACAATGGAATCCAAAAATTGTATGACCGCCATAATCGTTGTAGCGCTCTCAAAACTATATTGAATAATCAAATCAAATTCTATCAAAAAAGAAGATGTTTTATATGTTAGACTACGAACTTTTTAGGCCACCTTTTATGCGAATAGAGGGGATAATGGAGGGGTGGAAAGAACCTAAGAACCTACCGTACCGTATTTACCCTATTTGTAGTTGTAGTGCACATGTAAGTTATGGTATGTTTCAACCATGATATCTAAGGTAACAGACGGAACGATACGGGTAAGCACAGAGGTTAAAGTCGGTAAGACTTTCAAAAAAGTTCGAGCTGTCTCGATAATAAGGGCTTGAAACGTGCAGAAATCCTCGGAACAGTGAGGTCGCTCCGTGAAGCCTGCGAAGTGCCGGGAGGCTTTGGAAGGAGTTAGGATAGCTTAGTTAACCAGGACTTTACGCACAATGGACCTATTAAGAGTCTTAGTGCTGAGACTGAGTCCACAAACCAATAACCAATTAGTACTTGAAGGACGTTATTCGCCTTCAGACATGAGGAACGAAAATTAAAAGTTTTTGTTCGATTATCAACACCTTTTTGTATCTGTAGAATAAATAAGTATTTGCGGAGTCAAATTTTCTCAATTTAAGACTAAGGTGCTTGTTGTTTATTAAATAATGATTATAATAGTAACGTTAAACGAATGGAGAACACAGTTGCTTTCTTATTGGCAAGTATAATTTTATCGTTTGTCTAATGTCTTATTTTGTTAAAGCGCTAGAGTAACTAACGAAGTCGGAAGTCTTCATGAATTTAACGACGATATATTATTATTATTAAGACTTTATTGCTGACACATAATATTATATTAACACTTAAATTTAAGTTACATAATCTAACTTAGTGTAATACATCATATGACCCGTTTTGGGTAATCAGCGTGTCCTGTGACACATAGGCCTCTTTCAGCTGATTCCATTATTTTCTGATTTCGGACAAGAAGTGCTAAACTTCTTGTCCAAGTTGTGCCTTCTATTCTTTTTATATCGTCTGCCCATCTTTTGCTCTGTCTTCCCGTTTCCGTTTTCCATCGCGTGGTTGCCACGTTAACGACGTTATAATAATGCTAAATGAATTTTTTTCTAAGTTTCGTAAATGTTAAAACCTTTTTGTATATGTAGTATGGATTCCATCTTTGGCTATATTTTTAGTATAATTGTTTTTTTTATAATTAAAGTACGAAACAAATAAATACGTTACTATGGCTATTTTATATAAAATTATATAAAGTGTTATAGCTAAAATCTAATTCTATGCGTGTTTTTGTTATTGTTTTCATCTATCTCACACAAAATGTCTCTCTTTACCTCTTGCAAAGATTATTAAAATAATGTCTTCCGAATTTAGGTCCGCGCCGGTTTAGCATCGAACAGCCAACCTGTCATCCTGGATCTCCTTCGTGAGACCGCCTACCTGAACTCGTCAATCACTGTGTGGTCCAGCGAGGGTGATTCTGTGGAGGTGGATCGTCTTCGTGCTTTGCTCCTCACCGTGGGACTGGAGAGGACCTACCTGGATGTTCCACAGGAGCTCTCAGCCAGGTTGCGTCTTCCATCTCCCGATACTAAAACAAAGAATTAAATGCATTGTCATTACTTGTTTCTTTATAATCCTCTTCTACCGAAGGTTTTAAATAGTGAATCAATAGCATACGTTTAGAACTGAAATGCTATTTACCCTTCCAGTAGAGATTTAAACCATTATTGATACACAAGGGACGAAACCATTAAATCAGACTTACATAAAAAAAAATTGATCTTAATGATATCTAATTATTGATTTATGTGTTACCACAACATTAAATTGATTTTCAATCATTTCGTTCTGTAAAATGTATAAAACGCCGACATATTTCTTCACCTTTTTCATTTATGGCTTCTTTATTTTTGAAGCACAAAATTAAAACACACACACACATACGAACAAAATATGAAAAGCGGTACCGTTCCTACAACATGGGGACACAACCAGCGATAAAAAACTACAAAAATACAAACTATAAAAAAATTGTATCGGGAATAATCGGTACCCTAACCGAGGCTAAAGAACCATGAAACTCGTCAAAACTATGCAATATCTTCTTGTTAAACTCGCTGTTTATAAGCAAGTGCGGTCTTTAAAGAAGATATTAACCTAAAAAAGGTATATCTAGTTTTGCTCTCTTAAATCAGTGTTGTAAATTGCACCATTCTTTAGATATTTAATCTACTATTAGAGATAATTGCGGTGACTAGTAATTTACAATTTTATCTATGGTGGTCGCTTGCATTTGTTTCGAAACCGCATGAATGCACTCAGCAAGCAATGCAAATGAATTTCAAGTGGCTCAATGAACAAAGTTTAATTGATACCGATATTGATCATATGTTCAGTAATAAGAGTGCCCATGGACACACATTGCCAGAGGGCCCGCATGGTAAGCTCTTTTCTTGAAGGACCCAAAGTCAGTGGTGGTTCAGCAGAAACTACCTTAAAAAAAGCTTAGTTGTGGAGCGATGGACGTCGGGGTGATACAGGTGGAATTTCGTATTCTGCCTCGACGTCCGATGATTAAACTCAGCTGCAGGTTATAGGCATTAATCCGAACAACTCTGGACTCTCCGTGGTAAATGCGGTAGAAGATGCAGAGAGATCTCTATGCAACTCAAATTGTCTGTGACTATACTGACCCGGCGAACCTCGTTCCGCCTAATACTTAACGAATAAGCAAACTAATGATTTTTAAAAATGCATCGGTATGTTTTTCCTTGACGAAAGAGTGGTTAATAAGTCCATTGCCGGCGGTTTGAACCTGCGACCTGGATGAGGGTCGCTTGAACCCACTAGGCCAACTGTTCTCCAAAGTATCGATACCTGCGAATAAAATTATGTAGTTAATGTATTCTATTTATGTAGAAAATTTTCTCCCAAGCGCTATAAATAAAATCTATCTTTCATACGGCCAGCATATGTGAGGAATGTTCTAGAAAGATTAAATATTTAATTGAATCTGGCAGCTTTAAAACGTGGAAAAGCAAATATTAATCCTAGTTGAATATCTACGAGATAATTTCACTTTCTAAACTTTTTCTAGTTAATGAATTAGACAGTTTTAAGATATTTGTGAAGATCAATAACTGATTTGATTTCTTATTAGTATGTATTATATTTGTTCCCTTTGGAGTAAAGACTCTTGGGCCGTGGGGTTCAAGTGTACAGTCGCTAATTATATATTTAAGTTGACATCTGGTAATATTTAAAGCTCATCGAAATAGTATGGCAATACAGCGAGGAAATTCTGCTAGTGTTACAAGTTAAAGCCACAGGGACCAAACTATTTAAATTAGTTCAAATTTTCTATGTATCATTTTTTAAATATTATTATTATGTAGATTTAGAATATTATAATATATTTGTGTGTTGTCAATAAATATAATCTGTACTAATAAAGAAATGTTTTATTAATACATATAAGTCATTAAAATAATGACAACCCTAAAGATCATAAACACCCTTCTATTAACTTCCAAGGAATTGCAATAAGAGTGCGCTACAGTGTTGCCATTCGTAGAAACGTTCAATGTAAGGTCTATATTTTACACTTAAAATGTGTAAAAGAAAGAGCATAACAAACATTTCCTACGAATACGTGTTCAATACTTTGTCAGAATCGAGAAAATATTCTAGAGGGAATCAAAACTGTGTTGAATTAAATGTATGAACTTCGGGTTCATAATCATTACCTAATAGCCGAAATTAAAATAAACCAGTGGCACTACAACCTTATTAGGTCTGGGCCGTAGTATCTGTTTCATTGATCATCATTTGTCAACCTAATAGGCAAGTAGGTGATCAACCTCCTCTGCCTGACACACGCCGTCGAGTTTGGTCTAAGACAAGCCGGTTTCCTCACGATGTTTTCCTTCACCGTTTCAACGATTGTTAAATACTTATTGGTGCAAAGCCGGGGATCGAACCTACGGATTATAGTCGCACGCAAGCCAACTTCTTCTTCTTCAAATTTAAGAGCCGGGCTCTTGTCTGTGGATTAATCGCCACTCAGTGCGGTTCTGCATCAGTGTCTTGACCTCCTGGTATGTCACCTCAGCTTTTTCTTTGATCTGGTCTATGGAAGCTATTCTCGGTCTTCCTCCTCCTGTCCTGCCTTCTATCTTCCCCTCCAAGATGGTCTTAAAGAAGTTGTCGTGTCGCACCAGGTGTGCACAAGCCAAATCTGCTTGCATATACATGCAGAATATTAATAAACTAATATATCATTAATTTCACACGCATTATAATTAGGTACACCATGGACGTGTGCCACCGAATTCTTAAAGCTTGACGCTCACTACCAATTAATGTCATTTCTTAGTTGAATTTACATTTAACTGTCCCAATTTTAATACCATTTTGAAATCTTACAAAAGCTTCCTTTTAAGATTTGACCCATTGGAACAGACTGAAGAGTTTCGATGTTAATTTTCTTTATAAGCAAATAGATCCGAATTAGAATTCATCAAGATTCATACGTATTGTATTAAATCAAAACGGTTCACATTGATGAAAATATTTAACAAATATTAGACGTTGACGTTTATTACTTCAAACTAATTGACGTATTAAATTTCTGCAGATGTATAAAAAATGTCCAACATGTGTTAGGTCACCTTTACGGGTCGAATGCCCGCCCTACATATTGACTTCCTTTACTAATAAAACAATTTACAGTTTTACCGCGAACCGACTCGAACGATAAATTTTCATATTACATGCATTTTAAGTTTATGTATTGACTTCGTATTGCTGCCGGTGTTTACTTGAGTGGGTTTATAGGGCTGTCAACAGGATAAAAACCTCTTCTTAAAATAAATATTTTAATAAAACTGACTGATATTAAAGTATAAAGTTAACATATTAAAACAAAGATCAGTATATCCTTACTGGATTTATAGGGTGACTCTCATCCCTGATGTTGAACCACTGGTCTACTCTATTTATGTGCATCTAATACTAGTTCGTTCAAGAAAAACATCGAGAGGAAACCGGCATAGGTACGACCTAAAAATTCAACGGCGTGTGTCAGGTCAGAAGGCTGATGTCATACTTGCTTATTAGAAAAAATAAACAAACACCAAGCCACAGATATCTACAGCCAACACCAGAAGTACCACTGGTGTTTTTCATTTTTAAAACATTGTGTTTCTGTGGCGTCGCAGAGTTCCCATAGTGCTGGAAGCAGTTCTTTGCTGTACGCTGTATGCTGCGATGCTGGTTCATCTGAATAAGTGTGTAATAATTGTTAACTGTGTTTTATGATTATGTGTGAATGTGTATTCCTTTTTTGGCTTTTGTGTATAATGTAATTGTTTATATACCGTATAATAAGTAATTGTAGGAATACTGATAAGCAAATAAATAAATAAATACAGCTCAGAAGTCATATTCATTTATACATCCTATAATTTATTCGTTTTATTCCTTAATTCAAGTGCATTCAGAGTGTATATAAACTTGTGCCCCTATAACCAGAACTTTTCACTGACATCCCTTACTTGGACCCTGCTAATGACGTATTATTAAAGATTTATGGATTCTACGATATTAATGTTAAAATATTATTTACTATATATATAAAAATGTTATGTTGGTTTGTGTACGCTTAAAAACTCAAAAAGTTCTGCACCGATCGAGCTGAAATTTTAGCATGATCTGTAATCCGCATCAAGGATTGTTTTTATATATATTTTTTATTTTTATTTTATTTCCACAAGTATTGCAAAATAAAACTTATATGAAATGTATTCTTTGTTTTGTTTTATTTCTCAACTATTCAATCACAATGTTCCACAGCGAAGCGTATAGCTAGTAATATACAAATCTATCATAATTAAAATAATAGTACAGTTTCTTAATAATAATAAAACTTTATGCATAACAAAATGGCCGATTTACATAATTTACATGTTCTTGTACAAGTGTTTGTTAAATGCATACCCAAGCGCCGGTCATGTCTTATGTCAACTACCGTAACTTAGAACAAAAGTTGACAATACAAGCTAAGGCGAAGTCTTTGGTGACACATTATGTATTCAAAACTTAGTTCATCGGGTCGGGTTCATGAAGAGTAAATTTACGGTCCCCATGAACGCGTCGAAATGTGTTCAAAAGGCTCTCTAAGAATATTTTTTATGTAATCATTAAATTAAAAATTAAAAAGAATTTATTCGTAATTAATATGATCAGTGAACCTGAATCATGGTGTCATTTAATTATTCAATTTGCTCTCTAGAACGATTATAAAGTTTACTCCAACGTAATTTACATTGTACTTAGGTGATATTTTAACTTTCGAAATGAGTTCATAATATATTCCTAAATTTTGAACTTTAAATTGTCTGACCTATTTATAAAATATAATTAAAACAAAACAGAACCCGAATTTTGAAACAGAAAGTGAGAATGGCGTGGGAGTTGCGGCCTATCTGACGTCTAATTATTTTTTGATTGACAGCCGCACGAATAGAAATAAAAACAAGATGGCGGAAAAGCTCTATTGCATCGGATAAAAATCTAGTTTATTTTAATATTTAATTTTATATTTTAGGTCAATTGCTTCAAATTTGTTGTTATTGAATACATTTCATCCATTTTAGTTTTCCAACCACATTCATGTGTATACTCTCAAGGGTAAATTACTTATCCACAAATTGTAAAAGGTCAAGAAGTTCAAAACATTTTTTTTGGAGTTCAGGCGTGTACATATACCGGAATGCCAAGATTTGTAGGCCTCAGGTTAATGAACTTTGCTTTTTGAAAATTCTTAAAACATTATCAAAAACAGCGAAATCTTTAATATACTTTTTATGGTTGATGATTGCTTGGTTTGCCATTATGACTTTCAACTTTCCGACTTTAATTTTAAGAGTTCGTCCGGTTTTTTGCTCTTAGTCTCTGACCAAAACAATATTAAATATTTTCCTTTCTCACTTAATTCAAGTAGAATATACAGAGATTTGATTTTCTATATAAGTCAATCTTAAGAAAAGGAGGTAGAGGTTATATATAGATGTATATGCATACAAACCAATTCGACTTAGGGTCCTTCAAGGAAAGAGCGTACCAATTCTTAAAATGCCGGCAACGCACTCGCGAACCCTCTGGCATTGAGATTGTCCATGGGCGGCGGTATCACTTACCATCAGGTGAGCCGCCTGACGGTTTGCCCCCTGTTCTATTGAAAAAAAAAGCATCGTTCTCCCTTCTCATCAATAGGGGCAACTCACTTAACATCAGCGCCCGTACTCTGTAACTACTCGTGTAGCGTAGCGTGGGTTGGACTTCGGTCATCTTCTGAAAAAAAAAGTTCAAGTGACCCTAGTGGTGCTTTCCTCTCTAAGCGTACAAGCATTGCAATACGGCGAGATATTTCCACTTTGCATTATGGGTAGTCTTTCACAGGGACCGTGCTTTTAATTTTTTTAATGATTTATATGTATTTATTAAGTTACTAATTACAGTAAATTGTGCGCTAGTTTCTAGTCTAAAATTAAACTACTTTTTTTGTATTTAATTTATTGGGGCTATAAAGCATTTTTAATTAAATATATTCTAGACGCCCCAACAATCAATAGAATTCAGCTGGATATAACACAACGTGGAGACTTGAGACTGAAGCTAACCAAATTGGAACGCAATATAAAATTATGAGCAGCAAGTATCAAGCGCAAGGATCTCACTAAATTAATATAGAAAAGTTTATTAAAATTATTTGGAACTTGAATTCCAATTTTTCATTAACTTTTGAAAATTTACTTATTGTTCCGTTAACAATTTCGTAGTGATTTCTTCGTAAAACCAATTATTTAAATTTCTTAAGTGAGTAATTAAATTTTTTAATATATAATTTATGTATGTGTCATAAGAATTTTAGGTTGGCTAAGATGGGGCATGGTACAAAAAAGGTTAGCAAAGCACTGTTCTAGGGTATAAACTACTTCACTATTCTTCGGAATCAATTAGACAGATAAATACCTAAAAAAGTATGGTTTAAGTAAAGTACTTGGTGAGAACACCGTGTGTTATTAAACTGCTTTAGCTTAAGTTTTCCTGAGCTAGAACAGTGAATAAACTTTGTTTTAAGTGATTGTCTTTGATAGTATATATGGCATACACATTACCAAACCGCAAAAGCGCGTAATTGTTTACTTGCACTAATCTTATCTAAAATCTGCCCACATTCAGGTCATAGCATCATAAACGGTCACGCTTTACTCACTTTCAGGCGACACATATACACATATAAGTTAGTACGTAGTTTTGTCTTATAACGATTATCATGGGATGTTGATTTCCGTTTATACAATCTTCATAGTAATAAACATACATTTTTATAACAGCGTTGCGATTTTGTAACTCACTTTTTAAACAATAAACTACAAGCTCCCTCCTTATGAGAATGCCAAATCGTAAAATTACTGCTTCACGACTGATTTGAGCGCGACCGCCGCTGCGAAAACCGCTGTGCAAGTTCGAAAAGTGAGTTACAGAATCGCAAATAATAGCATTAGGTTACCATTTGATTCTCTATATGCCCAAATAATTATGGATGGTAGAGGTTATATTTTTGGAAATAAGGCATTATTTATTGCCGTAGATAATATGTGCAAAAAAAATTAAGTTATAGTAAATTGTAGAGGAAATCCCCCGTAGAGTACCTAGAAAAGGTTTTAGGCTTAGAGTGGGTGAGATATTAATCATATCCGTCTTAAATATTTAGTTTGTTTATACACACTTGAGTCATGTAGAAGTAAACGTAAAAAGTAATCCGAATCAGTTCTTACAATTCTGAAGTTTAATATATAAAACAATGAAACCTATGAAAAAATTACTTGAGTCTGTAGTTATTATATGTATTATGTATTTTCTTATTTATATGAATAAAAATGCAATTATATATATATATGTAATAGGTGTCCAATTCGAGTAAGTTTTTTTATTTCTTGAACTCTGAGGATCGGAAGAGAAAAATCTGAGTAATTTAAAAAACAAAATATAGCATAATGTTCCATATGATTGTATGTAGCCACTAAAAAACTAAGTTCGCAGGCGCAGCTAGGGTACAATATAAATAAAGAAATAACTAGGGATGCTTCAGATACCGATAGCGATATATCGACGATACTTTGGGTTTGCCGATATATCGGTATCGGCGATATTTTAATTGCCGACACAACGATACTTTTCAATGTTCGCGCTTTGAAAAAGTAATGAAAACGCGCATCTTTTTTGATCTGGGGCGTTGCAAACAAGGCATGGACTATCTATGCCCTTCTCATCCGCTTTGTCCCCGCGTATTCCATTTCGCTAGACCCTTTAGTTGGCATTTAACTGCTATCGCGCGTAGTATTTTTTCAATACCAAATAAAATACAGAATTACAAAAATCTTATCAATGTTAATTTCAATTATTAACAGTTATTTAATTTATTTTAATTTAACTATTACTCTTAATTCTTAATTTTATTTAACCTTTAATCTTATTCAAAGTTTATATGTGACTGTTTATATTTTATAATAAAAATTAAAAACTTTAATTTAATTTTAATTCAATAAGCGTTAGTATCGGCATCGGTATCGTATCGGCAAAAAGGCGTATCGATGCATCCCTAGAAATAACCAATATTTACACATGAGAAAAATCTAGAGACGTTCTTAATATAAATTACGCTTTTAAGTGCGTCTGTAAATATTTTTAAAAAGTTTAATACATAGTACAAACATGTTAATTGCTTAAAAGTCGTCAAACAAGATGTACATCCTTCACCTGAGGCAAGTTACACTCCTTATTAGCAATTACAGTGTTTAATGTGAGCTTCGATGTTTTTCATATTAAAAAAAAATTGTGATCATATTCTGTTCGTTCTATAAATATATCTATGTACAATAAAAAAATCTCTAGAACTAATAATAAATTTTATAAATTCACTAGTACTATATACTTCTTAAAGAACTAAAAATAAACTTGGCCTTCGAGAGAAGGGAACGCTACCTTCGATCTGGCGCTGCTACTCGCAAATCGGCCACTTGGAGCTCGCGCGAATCTCTCTCCCTGGCGGCGGCTCTCTACAATAGTACCTGGGTAGCCTAGTGGCACTCTTAAATATGTTCCGATCATCTCCCATCATCTGTAGGTGGCCAATTCAGCGGAGTCTATTAGGCTTTGGCTTCCTCCAGGCTCTCCTCAATGTCCTACTCACTTTGAGCCAGCGGAGTAAGGTATAAAGACATTCTTATAATTATACTAACTTTTAATTACTGTTCAATTTAATGGTTTTGTTCAAAAAACTAAGAGATCCGATAAATCGTACGACGCTATGCAGTAGGCATGATTAATAATATTCGTCATTTTAAATTCCTTATTCAATTAAAACGGGTTTTTCTGAAACAATTCTACTATCGCAAATTATTTATAGCGTACGAGGATAAATCTTCAGGATACAGCTTACTAATTAACCTAACAAAGGAATATTTCAATTCGGGTAATTCTACGAAAACTTTCTTAACCACAGTTAATGTTTTAAACAAACGTTGCAGCTTTCAAAATTCCGACGGCAACAATGCGTGACCTTTTAAATTATGACGCTTTTTGTCGTCGACCTGCATACTTTAAGGTTTTATCATTTCACGTTGGATCTCCAGAATCCAGACTCCGTATGAATGGGCGCTCGAGTCGTGCAACTCATTATTTATAACTTATGTAGCTATAAGCTTTGGAAGCCAATGTAGGGCAAATGACGCTAAACGCGGCCGGTTAATCGTATTTTATTTCAAAGAACTGACAAATTACTTTACTGTAGGTTTTGTAATCCCTTTCACAAATGATATTAATGTTTTGACATGTGTTGCGAGACAAAAATGTTTGATGAAAAATCGATTGATATATTTGAATATAAATTAGTAGATTTGCATAATGTATCTTTTTAAGTGTGTTTTGAGTATCGTTCGTATTGGTTACAAATAAATTATGATGATATAAACAATGCACATATATATTGATATACATTTGAACAGTAGGTATATCAAAAACTATGTAAATAGCATCTAAATAGTCTATCAGTTATGAAAAAAATATCATCTGTAGTGTATCTATATGTACAGCTATTTATAACGTAATGTTACAAAGAATAATTAATGTTAATAATATGATGAGATACTTTGGATATTTGCCTTGACTTGTATAAGTCATCGCGGAATATGCTTAAAAACTGCATCATGAGCACACTCCACATACACACCCTCACGTTTACACCATCATGCAATACAGCCGAATTAGACTTAGTTAAATGTATTTAATATTTTTTAATTTTTTCCTTTCGTAAATGTTTGAACCTTTTTGTATATAGCCATATTTGGCTACACCTTTAGTAAAATTGTTTTTTTGTTATATTTATGTTAGGATTACGAAATAAATATATAAATTATCGGCATTAACTAGCACTTTCATTTATATGTAATCCGCTTATAATCGAAGGGCCCAACATCAGGGCGTTTACCTTATCCACACAGGCCGGTTCAGTCGTGCGACCGGCGTGCTATCAACATGTTGCGTATCGCGTTACTCCTGTGTCTCATTACTATCACAATCGGTTTGACCACAGAGAAATCTTTCGCGCAGAGATTAGACAAACTCTATGAAAAATTAGAGAAGTTGACGGCGCCTAATTCAAAATTGGAACCAAATAAATTGTATGCAAAGTTAGATAGGTTTAATTCGCTATCACCTGACCATGCCTTGTCAGAAGATGAGGAGCTTCTCTCGGCTATGCAGCTTTGGGGGGGAATGAGTGAGGAGCAGTTACGGGGACTAGTCAGAGAGTTTAAGGAGATGAAAGAAGAAAAAAGTGAGAAGATCATTGAGGATTATAAAGACGACTGGGCTGATGATGTAAGTTTGATATTTTTTTGTATAGTTTACGCTTTCCAACGTAAATAAAACTATTAATTATTTACTAAATTCCTGTGCATAAGTTTGTTAGAAAATATTTTTCTATATCATAACTGCGTGACTTATTTTAATAATTACAATTAGAGCACGGTACAGAAGATAAACTAAATGTACATTATTACAGTACTGTCGGTATTATCTTTATTAATAATACTTTTTCCTGTTTAAAGACATAGCTTAAAAGACGAGTTTAAAAACAGCAGAAACATCAAAAGACAAGTTAATTCGAGATATATTCGAAATATGTTTAAGGAATCAAATATTATGACACTATCTGGTCAATATATTCTTGAAGCCTAGTTGTATGTACAAAAAAAATATAAACGATTTTAAAACAAATGGTGACTTTCACCAGTATAATTCTCGAAAGAGAAGTAATTTAAGCGTACGACCAACCAGGCTCCAGAAGATATCCCACTTTTATGGAAATTGTTTTCGTTTCTACAACAAACTCCCAAGCTAAATTAGAGAATTATCACTGAATAAATTCAAAGCTTTGCAAATTGCAAATCTCGTTAAACGTAAATTAATCAATAAAGCTTTTTATAAAATTTACGAATATATATATATATAAATGATCCTAATCCTTGGGATTGATTTGGTCCAGTTCAAACAATTTGTATGATTGTACTTGGCGATTAAAAAGGGTGGCGGAGAGTTTCTTGCCCGTTCTACGCCCTTGACTTGCGAACTTGTAGTAAATGTAAATTTAGAACCAATTTATCATCATTTCTGTTGAAGTTCATAAGTGTACTTGTTTACCTATATGAATAAAGTTATTTTGAGTTTCAGTTTGACAAAGATTTTATTTATCTTCTATTTCAATATTTTATCAATGAAACAGCGGCAGCTGCCGCGGCAAAACGTAATTCAAATCCCTAAGTAGATCTAACACGAAACACCACTAACGTCTAACACTCAAAACAGTCCTTACTTTGCTTTATGGGTGGTCCGTAAACTTTTTTTGTGTCCGCAGTCACTTACCTTCAATAATAAACGATTCGTTCATTCCTTAAGAAAATACACAATTCTTCCTACTAAATAGCATTTGTGTAAACTATCACGTTTAAACGGCAAAGCATTTTTGGATGAGGTATGTTTCGATTAAACATAGGGAGGCAATGTAGCAAGTTAATCTAAAGAATTCTTTCAATAACCTAAACACCGTACCGTGTACCAATCATTAATATTTTACATAAGATATAGTTCCGATATAATTAAAGGAACAAAAGTAAAATTACCATAGTTTTGACATAAGCTAAATAATTCATCTATATTTAAATTATTTATTAAAAACCCGATAAATTACATACATAGTTACGTGTTTATTGTTAACTGCAAATCGTAAAAACTGCGTGTTCCCGTATTCATACTTATTCTTTCAACGATCTAGTCTTTTACATTTTTATTAATAAATTAATAGACAAACATAATTAGAATAAAAAACACCGTCTTATGAAATAGAGATCTTATAATTAAAAAGAATCGGTATAATTCTTTGATAATTCGGCATTGTATCTAGTCGATTTAAATATTACGCTGAAATTCAATTATCTGGTTAGTAACAGGTAGAGGAAATGACTTTGTCTCGCACGTGCGTTTACGTAAACATATGTTCTATTTAAAGTGCTATAAAAACTGTTGTACACTATTAATTTTTGTAACAAAAAACACTTCCGGACAAAACAGAAGCCTATTATTATCTATTTTAGGCGACCCAAGTATGTTTTCGATTCGTGCTTTGCCATCGACAGGTTTATGTGTAAACTTTCGTAATAATAAGCTTTTGTGAAAATTATTTTTTAATTCGCAGTATATAGGTACCAGTTCATTTATATTCAGTGCTTACGAATTTTTACGTTCGAACTTTTACGTTTAATCATACATTTAAAAACCCCGAGGTTTGCTAACTATAAATCATAAATTTAATGATTATAGAACCTTCAAAAAAATAGTTACTGATTCTTAAAAGGTCGGCAACGCACTCGCGAGCCCTTTGGCATTGAGAGTGCCCCCTGCTCTATTCAACTATAAAGATTTAATCTGGTTTTACCAGATTTATGGTTCTTTAATATTCAATTTAGATTTTTATTTTAAGAAATAATAGTTCAGTTAGTTTATTATTGCATAATTTTCATAATACCAGCCTAACAGGGCTCTATAATATTATTAAATGCTAAAATATTGAAATTAAGCTCGCTTAATAGGGCGGTAATAAAACCGAAGCGTCGTACTTAAGCCGGCTCATGACTTCTGGAATGTGGGTGATTCTATACTATTTGTAATTATAGTGTAGGCTTAAACATTGCTTAGTATTTATTTATACGTTCTAAAACAAAAACAAACAAGAAAATATGACATCACAAATTTAACACACATATCTACAAATACACATCAATTACATTAGAACAAAAGCAATTTAATTCACTGATAAATTTTAGCAAGCATTTATAGGAAAAAAAGACCATTAATTCATATATTATAGAAACTAAAGTATAATTGATTTCAATGTGTGAGGGGAGCAACTATGGATGTGCAGACCAATCTCGAACACAATTAATTTGGTAATTACGTAATACGATTCTCTGTACTAGTTAAATAGTTGATTAAGAATTATTATTTTGAAAATGACGTATTCTATTATATACAATTTTCTTATAGTAAAAATAAAAATAAATAATTAAAAGAAAATGAAAACACATTTAAAAGTTTGCTCCCTGTGGCAGTATATGTACATTGTACATGGCAGCATTTCCTCGCTGTATTGCGGTAATTATTCGTTGAAAATACTGTTTATTTGATTGTCATGATTACTAATAAATAATGTTATTTTTTCTTACGTTCTTTATTTATAAATTTCTAAAAATAGTTTCCAAGAGCCCAGTAAAGATTTCCGGTATGATTGATGTATGTTAGGATATTCTAAAACCATAACAAAATATTTAGACGTGAGTTATAATTTATGAGTTAATTAGTCGGCCGGCTTAGCGTGACCATGAAGCTTTGGCTTTAATCCTAATTATAAGCTTTATTCGTTTGAATTGCATAGCCACTGTGGAATTTAGCTAACAAGTGAACAGTGATAACTTTTAGGGTTGTCAACATAACGTTTAAACAATTGTCAAGTCTTTCACGAATTGAACGATACACAAAGTATTACTGTGATATAAGGTCAAGCTTTCTGCAGTAACCTTTCTTAACATATATCAATATATATGTCTCCTTCTTAGGTTACTAACTAGTAAGATCTTGATGCTAGATATGAAGTTCTTTTTTACATTTAACCCGTACTCGTCGAAAGAACAAGGAATAGTTTCAGAATTTTGTTTCTCAACAATAATTAAAAGTTTTCACCAATATTCTGGAATCAAATATTTATAATTTTCGATTACTGAATTACGATATTTGCCTGCGGTTAAGGTCATTAGTAAAAAACCAGTGGCGCTACAACCTTTTTAGGCACCTCAGATATCTGTATCTGTTTCACGATCATTTGGAAATCTTATATGTTAGGTTATCAGCCACCTGTGCCTGACATACGTCGACACAGGATTCGGAGTCGACTTTTTGCATTTAAGGCAAGCCGGTTTGCTCACGATGTTTTCCTTCGCCGTTCGAGCGAATGTTAAATGTGCACATAGACAGAAAGTCCATTGGTGCACAGCCACACTGATCTTATTAATTTACCTTCTTAATTCAGTTTACAAACTAAAAGTTCATATTTTATTAGTTTATAGGGTTCTTACTGTCACACGCAAAGCTCCAAGGCTTTGCAGTACGGTTCTAAAAAGTAATGTTCTTTTTTTGCTAACCCTATGGATTAGCGCTACTCACTGGCGATTGGCTAACTTGTCGTATATTCGTTAGGGCTTTTGAGATAAATTTAACTATTAAAATCGTGATTTACTGATATGACTGACACAAAATTGGCTGCTAAGTCGTGTCTGTTCATTTGAGATATTCATATTGTCATGGTTGAGTCGTAAATGATTCAAAAGCTTGTAATATGATATAAATAGTTATTATTACTGATTGAGCAAGCTTTAAAGTTGTACAAGTTCACACAAGGAAAACTAGACATACTAGAGACTCTAGTTGTGTTATAATTATATTTGCATGAAGTACGGTCACAAACTAATCGGGGAATATTAATAATGAAATATTATTTTTCAAAGCATATTCTTTATCCATGAATTAACGAGGTTAAATAATCCATATTCTAGACGAGTAAAACACGAAACATGTTCCTCAAATAAATCAAAATTTAAATTCTTACATAATCTTTTATAATCGGCTTATAACATTATTGAGAAAGAGAAATCAGAGGCGATATCGGGAAGGTGTTGGGGAGCACCTTAGATCGCCTCGTGGTAGGCAAATCGAACTCTAAAAATAAAATAAATGTTTATTATGGAACACAAGATACAGGTATCACTTATTCCACGTCATTAAATTATTAATCCCTACTCATCGGCAAAGAAGACAGAGGGTGTAGGCCGAGAGAAAATGCCGGCGTAAAAAGCTCTCGGTACTCTTTTAAAATACAAATCATCAAACAACTATCTAACTTCATAGGCTACTGCCGATTCGACTACGAGCCGATTTCTTCCCCATCACCATTGTCCCGATATCGCAACTAATTATAGGGCCGTGTGTAGACGCTAGTGTACAGACGCTAGTGGCCGTGTGGAGTAGGTTCGCTCCCTTCACACAAATTATGACGAAGATGTAAGATTTCGTTGGAAGTACCAGTTTTTTACCTCTCGAAGGGATCGACTCTTCATATAATTTGTATGATTTATTATATTCGCAGAAATACACCCATGGAGTGCTTCATAAGTTTTCTATTCAAACATACTTTTCTGTAACGATAATAAATTTTACCTATTGTTCATGCTATGGCCACATCGCTGGTATCAGACATCCGTCCTACCGCGAGA